CCAAAAACATCTTTAAAGCACAACATCTAGAACTACTTATTCTCTCTTAGAAGTGGCAGGGCCTAATCACCACCTAAGGAATAAGGTGTTAAGAAACTGCATCTGGCATCCCCAGTGCATCCTTTCTATCTGTGGTTTCTAGGCATCAGCTACTGTTATTATCTTGTCAGAAAGGTGAAAAAGATCCCAACATTACATATTTTCACTATCTGTGCAAGTGTCTATCCAAAAAGTCAGATCTTAGATGAACATCAGCTGAGTTCAACAGCTCCAACAGCTGATGGAGGTCTCCCCTTGAATCGTTGAATACAAACCCTGTAGTTTATCACTTATTTTGTCTTCAGAAGCACAGGGACAACAAAAATTCAGATAGGCAGGCCCTGTACTTATTTGCCTGAAGACAAAATGCAGTCCCTCACCACCAACAACATTACTTGGGCACACACTGCATAGGTACAAAACACTGTAATAGTTCTCTGTGGGTATTCTTACAATCCGAGTTAGATTAGAAATACCAACTCAACTCACCAGAGAACTTTATCATTGGTTTTAGTGAAAAGTGACTTTTAGTATCTGGTTCTACAGCACTTTAAAGCACTGTGTTTGTTCTGCTTTCTCTTTTATTGGATAATAACAATGAGATATCATTTGAAACTGATAACCAGCACTGACTTCCTGACCTAAAACTACAAATTCTCTCAGTCTTCTGGAATATTCAAGGACACTCAGATAGAGAAAAAGAAGAGTAAAAAATTCCAAAGATTTGTTCCTCTAAGTCTTTTGGCCTGTGTAAGATAGTGCTTTACAGAACATTTTCCAGTTCTTTTTTTAAGGGTGGATGTGACAGGGCTTTCCTCATTTCAGTGGCTTCTCCTTTTTTGTGCAGAATCTGAAACTCTTGAAGAATGGGAATGATAGACCAGCCTGGGCACCAGAGAGTTCCTTTGCCTATACCGCTCATATTGTAAAATTGCAACTGTATGATGCATTGTCTTTTACCATGTTCAGTTCTAGGATCTTTTTACCAGCATGCAACCTGATCTATTTTGTACTTAATTACAATTCATTATTTCCACTTGGCCACTCATAGAAAAGAAAATAGAAGATATGGAATGAAAATTCCAGAAATCTCAGAGGAGCCAAAGAATTAGGTGAAGGTATAAGATGCCCCAGTCAGTCAGCCTGCTACTTGTAGTAATTGGTACCAATAGTCCTAACTAACTGGAGAGTATAAAGATGTCTTCTTTAATTTTCAGTATTAGAGAGAAGATCAAGGACATGAAATAATGTTTTTCTGTCTTTTAAAATATTTTTCCAATACTTCTACAATCCAGATTTAGAAGACAGTAATGTAAATTATTATGAATTTAGCTGTATAATATACGTATAATACACATATATAACAGCTGTATACATGTATACTGATCTTTTTTTTTCTCATTTACTACACAAGAATATAAAGAAATATTTTGAAAGCATTATTCTTTGGGACTGGAACCATCTACTGATTAGCAACAAGGCTTATAAACATGTGGGTCATGTGATGCATGATCCTGATAGTACAGCCCTGATCCTAATAATATTGCCATTCCCAGGCGTTATTGAGAGTTTAGGCTGCTGCCATAATTAGCTGCCACAGTTTAGTTGCTGACACAGATTACAATGATATTACACTGCAAAGCACTGACTGTTCTCATTAGAAGTTAACAATCTAGTAAAAGGAAAACTACACACAAGGATAAGAAAAGTTGTAATTGGAATTGCATCATACTCCCAGCAGCTTGGGCGGTGGCCCTGTCCTCCCATTGATCTGTGTTGGCACATATCAGAAGATGAAGCTAAATATGTGATGCGTCATCAATATCTAGCTCAATTAAGAAAGTCTTCTTCCTTTTAACCCTTTCCCAACACATACACATTGTGATGCATTATTCATCCAAGTAACTTCTATACTACCAAAATAAATAGTTTTTCTTTACAAAGGTAAATGGCTTGAGTGTGTAAGGATTTATGTCTTGGACGTATACTTCAGTTTCCCTAAACTCTTTTTTATAAAAACACAATACATGTTTATACTATGTGATGGGATGGAATTATGAGATCTTTAAGCTAGTGCACACTTGATCCCGTAAATCAGTGGAATACTGTGTAAATATATCAGCATACATCCTGAACCAGTACAGCTGCATTCTCTGGGATGTAGCACTTGCAGCGATGTGCCTTGCTGCCTTGGATAAGTTTGTGTGCATCCAGCTAACCAGGCATTGCATTTTCTGTTCTGACACTGACTTGTACTGGACCAGTGGATTGTCTTGCCACTCCTCCCTTGATTCTACACAAATAAACTTCTAAAAACTTACCTAAATGTGATGCTGAAATCAAATACAAGGACAGCTTTTATGTTACTTAATTTATTAACCTGACTGAATTGTTATGACAGGTTGGGTGCTGGAAGTATCAGAAAAATTCTAAAGGTGCAGTTCCCACAGATCCATAAAATCGCAGACATAAATGCCAGTGAAAACTAAAGAGTTTCTCTTTCCAAAATACAGATAAAAATTGCAAATCTTTATCTCACTATTTGGAGGTCTTTACCTGATATGGGTGCTGTTTGCTGTCTTGAGCTGGGCCATAGAGATCAGACAAAAGCATTAAAGGTGCACATGATCTGTCAGCTTATGCATTTCACCTTCTCATGGGTGGTCTAGGGTAGAATAAGCCTCAGAAGTTGCTGACACCATAAAAAAAGAGGCAAATATTCTTCCAGTTCTTTGCTTTTAAAGGTATCATTTCCCATTTTCTCCTCTCAAGGAATTGCCTTTGTACCTTTAGCAGGGGAGCATTTAATTGCTCTCACTTTTACATATCATTTATCTTGAGGTGTTGTCAGATGCATTTTCACAGGTACAAGATGCAGAACATGGTGAAGCATCATTACTGAATTTACATGATCTTACCCAGACATTATTGAAATTGAAGCACATGACTGTTGCTGATGTAAAGCTCATGTCATAACCTCTTGCTTTGGTTATATGATGAATTTTGTTCCACTTTTTGATTTTCCTTTCTCTCCCTTTTTTTATTTCCTTCCCCTCCTTTCTCACCTTTTCTTAGACCTCACTTTCCACTCTCTGATGTTTTATTTAAACACTGACTGCACTCTCTGATGCTTATCTTGGTGTTTAGTCATGGGTGCATGACTTCCCTTTCGCTGCCATCCGTGTAAGTCAATTCCCATTCTCCCAGCAATTCTCTGTGGAAGTAAACATGATCATTAATCATTTTACAGCTCACAGCCTTGAAGATAATGGCACTGGTGAAGGTAAGAGCTGCAGCAGTTTTCCAGTATTATAATAGAGTGGCCAAACTTCTTGACATGTCTTTAATTTATTAATTGTCATCTTAGTGTTTCATATAAGGAAAAGATTATAACATCTCCACCTATTTTGGTGTAGAAATAATAATTTCTACACCCACATGCTAAAAATATTTTGGTCAACTTCACTTTTTATCTGCTATCACTTTTTATCTCTGTTGACAGTGCCCACAGTGTCCACAGCTAACCCAGTGGCACTGCACATCTGTTAGTTCTCATGCATTCCCCAGCTTTGGATCAACTACATACAAATTCAGGAGCCACTGGGAAATGGGAGACATCAGTGGAGCAGCTGAGAGCTTTCTTCCATTTGATTTAATATTTTAGCTGTTGATTCTTAGAACAGCAGGATCTTGTGAAAGAATCTATATTAAAACAAAACAAAACAAAACCACCAAAAAAAAGTAAGAAAGTGATGTAGTGAAATTATATTTTCAGTTACTTTTTCTTTTAAAAAAGAAAATAATCATGCCTAATTGTGCTGTCTGCTTGCTTGTTTTCTCATGACAGAAATAATACCTTAAGTAATAGAGAAGAGCTATAAAAGGAGACCAAATCACTGTCACACTTCATCACTTTATCACTGTCACACTTCTTTATCACTTTGACTGACTAACTAAAAATTAATTTCTTGCAGAGATATCCTTTGTGGGCGAGTGGATTATTTGCCTTCCTTCTTCATGGCCTGTGGTATGAAAGCACATATATGAACAAGGGGCACCATCATGGTGGTGTTGTGCTCGAGTGGCTCCAACTCTCCTCTGTTGCAAGCTGGGTGCATCGTTCCTGGGTCGAGCCATGTTGAAGTGATTGTGAGACAGTGAATATGGAATCCACACTCTGAAGCAGCAGCACACAGTTCTTTACTGCTGGTCTATGTTGCAGATGATTGCAGTATGAGAAGATATATTTATTAATACAAACGTAAAAAAAAAAAAAAGAAAAAAAAAGGAGCTGTTTTAGCTGCCTTTTTTGTGTGTGTGTTTTTTTGTTTGTTTGTTTGGGGTTTTTGTTTGTTTTTTGTTTTTTTGGTGAAGTGAGAAAATATTTTCTTCTCAAGGAAGGAAAATGGTAAAAATACAGACACCTCATTAGTCTTGTCCATAGACATGTGTTATGGTTGAGTTGTCAGCAGTAGCTTAAAGTATTGGCCTTCCTGTAATTTCAATCATAGAATCACTAAGGTTGGAAAAGACCTCTGAGGTCATTGAGTCCAACCATCAACCTAACACTGCCAGGTCCATCAGTTACCCATGTCCCTAAGTGCCACATCTACACGTCTTTAGAACACTGCAGGGATGGTGATTCCACCACTCCCCTGCAGAACCTGTTCCAATGTCTGAACAAGCCTTCCAGTGAAGAATTTTTTCCTAATAACCGATCTAAACCTCCAGTGGCTTTCCAGCCGCTCTGCCCCAAGCCCGTAGCGTTGCATTGCTCTCTTGCAGCCCAAATGCGAGACCCGGATGTTCAAGAGAAGGACCAAAGGCAGGAGAGGAAGAGCCCAGGAGCCCTGGGGTGGAACCAGCGCGGTTCTGACCGCGGGGCCGCCCCTCAGAGCCGTGGGCGCTGCCGGACGGCCGCCCGCCGCAGCGGAGGCGGAACCCTGGGGGCGGACCCGGTGGGCAGCCGGCGCCTGCTCGCCGCCGCCTTCCGCCGCCCCGCCGTTACCCCGGCAACGCCGCCGCCGTGGGAGCGCGGAGTGCGGGCCCGGCCGCAAGATGGTGAGGGGCGGCGGGATGGTGCGGGGCGGGAGGCGGAGGGTGGCGGCGAGGGCGGGAGCGAGGAGCGCCGCCGAGCGAGGGCCCGCTCTGACCCGGCTCCGCTCTGCTCTTTGCCCAGATGCTCTCCCGGGCCAAGCCGGCCGTGGGGGGTACCCCGCCACCGGGAGACAAACGAAGAAAGAAAGGGAAGGAGGTGCCGCAGCTGGAAGAACTCCTGGCCCAGAGGGACTTTACCGGCGCGATCGCCTTGCTGGAGGTGACGGTCTCCGAGCGGTACCGTCGTTGCCAGGCCGATGCTTGCAGGGCTGCGGGGCGAGGGGAGCCCTTCCCCTGCCTCGCGTCCCCCTCGCCTCCTCCCGCACCCTTCGGGCCCTACGGCGGCAGCTGTGGCCCCTCGCTTCGCAGAGCCAGGTTTGGCCTGAGAGGGCTGCCTGCTGCTGCCCTCAGAAATGCACCAAAGTAGCATCCACAGCTCTCAAACCATCCGCGATATATTTGCTTTGGTTATCTGTGGGGCTGTAGAAACTGTGTGGCAGCTGACAAAATTCTTACATTCTTTATTCTCTACAAAGTTTAAACAGCAAGTGGGCGAACAGGAGGAGGATGCCAGCCTTTGGATTGGATACTGCGCATTTCATTTGGGTGACTACAAGAGAGCTCTGGAGGTAAGTGGGGAAGTCCTGCTCACCAAGGTTGGAAATCGGAATGTAGTGATAAAGCGACGACAACAGGAGGAAGATGGTCTGTAGTAGAGAACAGCTCTGCCAGCCAGTTAAGGTACAAATGTACAGTAATGAGGCAGATGCTGTGGAAAGCAGTTTAGATTGAAAAAAAAAAAGGTATTTACCTATGAAAATAGAACTTTCTTAAAGTTATCTACTATGTGATTTAACACTAGGCTCAGTAGCCTAGTTTGCCCTTTTGTATGTCATAATTAATGTCCTAAATCTTCCATTCTTCCATCTCTTTTGCAGCTAGCTTTCCACAGTTTTATTTTTTACATTTAGTTATGATTTTGTCTTCATTGTGAAGCTTATTTGTGATATGCATGAAAAAATTCTTTCTTGAGAGGTTGATGCCCCTGGCTGTTAAATGGTATGAGATTCAACAAGGCCAGGTGCCGAGTCCTGCACTTCGAAAGCCACAACATCCCCCTGCAGCGCTACAGGCTGGGCACAGAGTGGCTGGAGAGCAGCCAGGCAGAAAGGGACCTGGGAGTTTGGATTGACAGGAAGCTGAACATGAGCCAGCAGTGTGCCCAGGTGGCCAAGAAGGCCAATGGCCTCCTGGCCTGCATCAAGAACTGTGTGGCAGCAGGACCAGGGCAGTGATCCTTCCCCTGTACTCAGCACTGGTGAGGCTGCACCTGGAGTGCTGTGTCCAGTTCTGGGTCCCTCTGTTCAGGAAGGATATTGAGGTGCTGGAGTGAGTCCAAGAGAAGGGCATCAAGGCTGGTGAAGGGTCTGGAGCACATATTCTATGAGGAGAGCTGAGGGAGCTGGGCCTTGAGAAGAGGAGGCTCAGAGGAGACCTCATCACTCTCTTCAACTACCTGAAAGGAGGTTGCAGCCAGGCAATGAGCAATAAGACAAGAGGATGCAGTCTTTAGCTGCACCAGGGGAGGTTTAGGTTGGACTTTAGGAAGAATTTCTTCACAGAAAGAGTGACTGAGCATTGGAATGGGCTACCCATGGAGTCATGGTCCCTGGAGGTGTTTTAAGAAAAGATTGAATGTGGCACTGAGTGCCATGGTCTAGTTGACATGGTGGTGTTTGGTCATAGGTTGGACTCAATGATCTCAGAGGTCTTTTCCAACCTATTTGATTCTGTGATTCTTTAATGTACTTTATTGCTCTTCTCTATGTTTTCTTGTGTTAGATAAATCAAATAAATGAGACATTCTTATTCTCCAAAAGCTATGTCACTAAAATACATGTTGACTATTCAAATATGCATACATTTAATTGCATAATATGCATAATTGCATAATACAATTCTGCCATGTCTCTTTCAGCGAGTGAGTCCGTAAGCAGTTCTTTCTTTCTCTTGTGTCCTGTTACATCTCCCATGAAACTCAGTCTGTCCCAGCAAGTTTCTCTGTAGAAATATTAATGAATTTTTGTTGTCTGCCTTGCTCTGTTCCTCTGAGGGCTGGAATTGGTGTGCACACCAAAACAGGGAGTGGTGTGGTGATATCCACAAAGCTGCATATAACTAGTGAAGATTTGAAAACAACTCAGTCTGCCTGAGTATTGTTTGTCTCTGTTGCGCTGTTGCTAGAGGTGTGAATTTTTGGGTCCATACAATGCTGTATTGCACTGTTTAAGGCTTATTGGTTTCTGTCAGGGTCAGCTGGGGGACGTCTCCATCACAAATCACTGAGGTATAAGTGAAGTATAACTGGTTCTGCAGTCTTTTAATTTGCTTCACCCTGAAAAAATATGAAAAGCAGATGATAATTTAGAGTATTAAAAAAAGAAGATAAAAGAAAATAAATAGATTATAGAACAATGATGATATTTACTCTTAGATAAAATGAAGTGTTTAGCTATAGTAATATGTGGTCATGTGCACAAGATGCATACATGAGGTGAAAACTCTAAAACTTCCTAGTAAGTTCACAAGGCACTCTGCCCTTCAAAAATTGAAGAGGAAACATCCATTCAAGATGTTAGAGATGCTCCGTGAATTAAATTGACAGTATAGAATATAGAATAGTAGTACAGGACCTAATGGTAAATTAATATTCATGTTTAAATTTGTGGAATTTAAAGATTATGAATGTAACAATCAGTTGATGTAGTTAATTTATATTTAGGCATTAGGTATTAATATGGAGTGAACGTTTTTTAAACAAAAATATTTGTGTACAAAGAAAAATAGCTTGCAATTTCTTAGAAATAAATTGAAAATAAATTTTGAAATAAATTCTGCTCTTTGAAATGTCCAGTAGATACTTTTAGAGCCAGAGTAGATTTTATATGTTTCCTTCAATGAGAAAGCAACAGCTTTTTTTTAAATTGTTTTTTAGTTGGTTTTTGCATGTGGTGTTTGATTGACCACTAGGTGATGCTGTTGATTCAGGCTTTTAAAAACTGCAACGTAGTCGTCTTTTTCCCATTTTTCCCGTTCCTCTGCCCAAGTAGGGACAATAAAAGGTTTATCTCAATGGTTTGTGGATTGTTTTAAGTTTCTGGATATGGGTGTTTTAAGCGAGAAATCACAGGGCCTATCTTTTCAGATTTTAGATTGATTTTTGGCACAGTTATGAGTCCTGATAGCTCTCTTATTTTTGTGGTCACGTGTGGGAAATGAGCCGGTGCATCTCAGCCTAGTTTCTTTGGAGACTGAACATTGTAGCTGTAATTCCTAAACCGGCAGGAATCACTTCACTGACTGTGGAGATGGAACTGCCTTTCACTTATCAGCTTCAAGGTTGAAGTATAATGCTGCATCTCCTCTGCTGCCTTACAAAGGCACTGTTGCTATATTCTCAAGGGCAAATTCCTTGATTATCTATATCCTTGAGATCTTGGAGCGTTCTTTAGGGAGTGCCAAGAGCACTGTAAATAAAATACTATGGGTCGAAGATTCTGTAGAATTCTCCAGAATGACATTGCACACAATCTAAATGATTCACTCTCCTATGTGTGCCTTCTGGTGACAGCACACAGTCTGTGTCACTACATTCACAGTTCATGGTTTGTAGTCCATATACCTATGGGGTGCCTATGAGGGTCTTCAGATATTATGATGTTCAATCCTTTCATTTATAATGATACTTTCGCAGTGTTGGTTGCATAGCAACTTTTGGACAAGCTTGGGAATTGGGGTGAGGTGGCCATCATACATCACTGGGAGAAATGGGGAAAAGTGAAAAACACACAGACTTTCAGCTCCAAGAATATTTCCAGAGAGCATGACAGCAAAATCTCTGTCACATTCATGTGAGAGAATTCACATTCTCTTACCACAGGCACACAAAAAACAGTCAAGTATGCTCTAAGTAGAGCACTAACATCAGCTTCATGAGGGTCACGCTTTCCCGTCCTTAATAGTAGATGCCTTTCTGAAAGGTTATGCCACTGACACTGGTCTGGTGGGATCATTCCTACTGCCGTACACCAGTTTACACATTGCGCTGGGCTTGACTCTTCCAGCAGTCACAGTGCAGCCCTTCCCTGAGGACTGACTAACTTTCTTTACTGACAAACTTATTTTTACTAACACTGAGTGGCTTGTGTCTTCCTGGCATCACATGGCAACCAGAGCTTCCCTAGTGGATGGCAGCATCTAGTTTTCTGGAGTCTTCCACATCTATTGTCCCTAATGGGGAAAACCCCACCTGCCTTTCTGCCATGACTTGTTCATAGCTCTAATCTTAAACCTTTCCTGAAAAATTCCCCACTGTCACCCAAGGACCAGAATCAGAGCATCAGTCCAATGATTCTGTTTCTAAGCTGCCTGATCTGGTAAATTGAAGCAGCTGGGGCCGAGGAAAGGGAGGGTATTATTATATCTATATGATATACATATATTTGCGGTATTTAAAATTTAGGAGAGGAATTGGGAAGGGCAGGTGCACTGCTTGGTTGGATTCAAGAACAAATTTCACATTTGCAGTCTGCACCCTCTGACTGGGCTTTAGGCACACAGGATTCTGGCATGGTACAGCTGTTGGGCATGGTAATGCCATTTTGGCCCTCAGCTGCACACATGAGAGCAAAGCATGATCCCTGGGCCAGAGCCTTCAATGCACTGTTTCTGTCAAAATCTCACAAACTACATGCAGACAGACTCTCCAGTCTGCCACCTCCCTTCTAGCAGAGAAGTAGGAACCATTCCACCTCTTCAATGTACAAGACCTATTGCCACCCTGACTTTGCTAAGGATAATTTCAGTCAGATAGTAACTCATGGAAGGAACAGGACCATACTAGGGTAATGATTTATCCATGAGCAGTATCTGGTCTTGCTTGAGTACTTCTGTGGGAAGTGGTATAATACAGGTATATTCAAGTTACTGACAACTGAAGCTGGAAATTAGAAAATGGATTTTTAGCTCTGGGAGTTCTCTAGGCTTCTCTATTATGGCTCTAGCCAGGTTATGGTGGGTATCTCCACACCTCCTTTGAGCACTTGTGAGGCACCTGTATAGATGGCCTGTTTATTGGCTTTTCAGGATCTGTGTTTATAGGGTTGGAGAATCCAGACAAGTAATAAGGGCACTGAGATGGCCTCAGCGTTGTGTCTGTAGTTGTAGGCAATCATCCTGGCAGACTGCTTTTGAGGAAAATCGCATGTGTTCATGACAGGGGGATGAGGTGGAGCAGGGTGAATAGCAAGAAGTTATACTCCTGGATGGCAATAGTATGCCACAAGGCTGGCTGTTAGGAAGGCTTTCAGAGTATTTAGTTTGGTTTTGTTGGTTAATTTGGAGAGGAGGGGGAAAAGCCCTTGTGAGGTAGTCTTTGAGCCACTGATGTTGAATGCATTTCAGTGAGGAAAGGGGCAAGAGCAGAGAGTCTGGACGCAATGCTCAGAACTACAGGATAAGGAGCACTAATAGTCCTAATTTTGATTTTCTGTGTTTCTATAGATCCATGTTGGTACAGCTCGAGCACTCTTTAGTTACTGCTTGCTTTGAATGGCCAAGCCAGAACTTGATTTGTGTTTATGCACTTTGTCTTTTCTAATTAATCTGCCTGAAGCCCTAGCCTGAAAGAGACCTTTGGGTGCGTTTAATCTGAATGGATTTTGAAAGATTCCAGATGGTCCCAATAAACAGCAGTGGCCTATCTCTCAGAGCTCCATGACAGACCTATGTCAAGATTAAACTGGCCTCAGTGGGAAAGGTTGGCCTCTATGTAAAAGTTTTCTATTATTATAACTGGTTTTTAAAATTTATTTATTTATTTGAAATATTGTTGGATAGCTAGTCCCTGAAGTACCAGCAAGACTGAGCTGTCTTTTAAGGGCATTCCTTGCCCATACCTTCTCTGTTTGGGAGTACAGTTTACTTTCACTTAGCAACTGAAAAAAAATTCTTTTTCCTTGCAAACTATAAACTTTATTGTTGTCAGCATATTTCTGTTCTTGGGATTCACTGTCCTTTGGGCATGGCTTATTTATCTAGTGCTGTGTGCATATACATATGCATATATATATCTATCTGTCTTTTTTTCATAGAGGTAAGAAGTCTCTCACTGCCAGTGGCTCAATCTGCTAAACTCTCTCTAGGCAGAGGGAAATTCCAATTCATATGTTTGGAGGACAAGTACAGACTCAGCAAGGGGTTGTGTTGCTGAGAGGGATGAGAGGCTGGTGGTAATTGGGAGTATGTGGATGACATCGTTTCAGCAGGTCTTTTGAGAACATTGTGTGACTCTGCCTGCTTTGCTTTGTGTTACCTCTTGGATGTGGATGGATGGAGAGCAGGAGCACCAGCATCAGGCACTTTCACTTTAGGTTCTTCCTAATAAATTATCAGAAAGTGACAGAGGGAAAAAAATGGCATTGAGAGATTTCCCCACTTCTGTTTTTAGTACCTGTTGTTACACTGAGCAAAGATGTTTATCTTTAGGAATGTCATTGTTTAGTAGCTGCAAAATTTTTTTTGTTTAAAAAAAGTAGATTGAAAGATTGATCTGTTAAGTTTTTGCTGTTTCACAAATAACAGGAAACTAAGCAGTTTATGTGGCAGTATTAAAGGATATGTACCTGAGATTAGCTCAGTTGGTCAGAGCACGGTGCTAATAACAGCAAGGTCGTGTGTTCAATCCCTGTGCAGGTTATTCCCTTAAGAGTTGGACTTGATCCTTGCTGGTGTCTTCCAACTCACAATATTCTGTGGAATATCTGGAATGAATGTGGATGTGCAAGAAATATCAGAATGTGGTATCTAGTGGCTTTCTATAGCTGTTGGCTGTAAATCTTAAAATGGGAAATGGTAAAGTTAGGCACAATTTAGTAATATTTACTATAATTTACTAATCTTTATAATGAAATCTTGAATTTGCCCTGTACCAACTTCTAGGCTTGTGGTTTAATGCAGGGGTCTCCAAACAACTCTGTTCATGCATCCCTATCAATAAAAAATTTTTGAGCACACCCCCCCGATCTATACACCCCCAAACACCTATACATTTATAAATTACATACGTGAACTGTTGTACTAATATGTAACTATAAAACATACACAAAAATAGAAAATAAAAAAAGGAGGAGATAAATATTAAATAAAAATTATTTAAAAATATTTATTTTAGTTGTTAATAATACCAAAACAAATTTTCTTCCTGCAATTGAGGTATTATATTGCACAGCCTCAGATTTAGTACACACCTTGGAGTCCACAGGTTAAATATACAATAAGACACTACCTATAGGTTTTACAAAAACCTGTTTAACACTTACTCCAGTAAATATTCACAAAGAGATTTCCCTGGTGTTTATGGCTCCCAGGCTTTGACTGGAGGAGAACTTTGGAAAGCATTAGAAGCAACTGAAGAAAAGTTGGTTATATTGATGTCTTTATAACTTATATATATATTGGGTTTTATAAATGTAAGCAATATATTTACAATATAAATATTTTTTATATCTCTCTAACTTCAGTATTGACAGGAGTCCTGTTCACACAATGGAGGTTTATAGCACTGCTTGTCCCTGTTGTCTGTTATATTGCTGTAAACAAAAAAGAGTTAAGGACATATCTTAGGTTTAAGATGTAATAGTTTTGCTGTAAGAACTTCAGTGAACTTCTGAATAAGTTGTTTGATCTCAATAAAGAATAAAGAATGATATTTAATAAAAACATGTGCTATTACACATTTTTTGAAGATCGACCCTCTCTTCTGTTGCAGGAATATGAAGCCTTAACCAAACAACCAACTTGCAATCCAGATGTTTGGGTGAACCTTGCCTGTACGTACTTCTTTCTGGGGATGTACACGCAAGCAGAACAAGCAGCTTTGAAAGGTGAGATGTCTGTCTCTGTTGGAAAGAACTGCTTATTGTCTCGAACTGAAAGTGATTTCCAGAGAAAGTATGCAATGCCTTACTTTCATAGAAATAAAGGATCCGTGCAACCAAAGTTTTTTGGGTTTGGGTTTTTGCTGGGGACTTGGTTTTCTAACTTTCTTTTACCAAGACAGTTGTGATGTAGTTTGCTTCCTTACCTTGGGCATGTGGAGCAGCTGGAACTGAAAGAAGCCTCTGGAAAATCATTCCTCTTACTAATTTCTAAATACAAATCCCAGCACACACCAACTAGCAACAAAGGTTACTTTTCTTTTGACTGATTGTGTGTCTCTGAGCCAGTGCAGATGAAGCAAATTAGGTTAGTGAAATTATCAAAAAATAAGCATCTGAGGGAATACGGCATTCTCCCTGACGTGGACAAGATCTCTGTTTACATAGTTCGAGTGACTTAGTGGGTGGTCTTTTTGCCTTAAAAGTCGGATACTACGTATCTGATTCTTCAAGGCATGGAGTTCACTGCAGTCACATTATTACAATTCTACTTTATCTGAACTTGCATGGGATCATTTAAAAGAATGGAATTTAGATTCCAAGGCAATTTTTACTGCCTCAAAATGTTTCTGTAGTTTAATTTTGTTGCCCATCGCTTTTTATGTATCTTTGTGATTTATGTTGTTTCCCATAACCATAGTATCTCAGTGCTTTCTAAGTAGAGTTAATAGGAGTGATATCTCAGTCAACTTCTGAGTCTTGCCTTTTTAGGATAAAACTCTTATTGAACTATGGGTTTTTTTCCTTTCTTTCATTAGTCTTCTTGTCTTGGGCTGAAAATAGAGAGGGAATAATATGTACTTTCTTCTGCTGTGAAGGAGAACCATGCAAAAGGACAGCTTTGTAGTATTTTTTACAAATAATTAGATTCTCATATCTTTTTAAAATCATCAGAAAGAGGACTGAGCTCATGCTGAGCTCAGATCACACAACTGGAAATGTTTTGTTTCCAACTATAAAAAAATCTCATGCAGAGCTTTGTGATTTGTATTGTTCAAGAGGTGTGCAAATTTCTAGCATTCACAAGTAATTTAATCTTTAATGTACCAAAAATTTGAGCTTTGGAGATTGCAATTTAGGACTTGAAGTGAAATGTAAAAATCAATGGGCAGTAGAGCTCGACGTGTCACTGTGACCTAAACCATGGAGGAAGCAAGCAGCTGCATCCTGTACCAGCTGGAGTCATTGTCATCAGCTTCACGTCATGTGAATTACAGTAATCCATACTGGAGATGGCATATACACAGCTGGGTGTGCAGCTTGATTAACTGTGAGCTATGAGATAGGGAAGGTTAATTTTTGCATACCCCTTCAGATTAGTTAATGGTAGCCTGGTGAGTGGCAGGGTAGGGGGTAAGTTAGTGGTACTTGGGTGCTGGAGGCAAGGGCAGGAATATCAAGAAAGGAGTGCAAGACACAGGGAGTGTAGCTAAGGGAGGGAACAGAAAATAACTGAGTGCTCACATTAGTTCTCTCAGCTCCTGATTTTATTTAATTGTTTAAGAAGGAACAGCGTCCCAGTTTTTATAATGAAGTGCTAAACCTTTCTTGTGAGTGCTGTAATACTGATGATTTCTGACTACTTAAGCTTGGTGGTTAGAAGTCATAGCTGAAGATTTGTAACACTTGTCCTTTTTCCACTGAAAGCTTCCAAGTGTGGTATATTCCCCTTTCCACTCCTGTCACTTCAGTCTTTCCTGTATTGAGTTTGAACCATTTTATTTTTGTTGAAGTTGGATCTTGTTTTACGGGTTTTTTTAACATCTTAGGATTGCATCAATGATGGCTGTTCATAATACATTATTGACAACTGAGGCCATATCATCTTGTGGTCTCTTCTATGGTTTTGCGAAGAAGCAAAATATTTCCTTCAGTATTAACACAACAGGTGAAGTCTTTAAAAGAACACCATTTATCCAATGCTGCCTTGAACACTGCTGAAAAATCGTAGGTGGTGTTAATGTTAGGCTGCTTACCATTGCTGCTTTGGGATTATTTTATCTGAATTCTTGTATACTATGTGCCGTTTATTGCTGCAGTTATGCTAAGCCCCTGAAAGTAGCATAGTGCTAAAACAAATTAAGGAGAACTAATTTAGTTTCAGCTATAATTCTAAATTTCTGCAGTAATAGAATCTCTGTGTGAAAGGGAACATAAATGTCAGCTAGCTTTCTGGAATAGATTTTCCACACAAACATGTAAATATCTAGAAATCAAATCAAATTCCTTCTTGCCATGTACTGTTGCTGTTACTTAAGAAAATTATTATTAACCATCTGAGGAAAAAGATGCAGGACACTTGAAAATTAGGAGATTATTGTTAAAAGCCATGAGGTAGTTATTGCCTTTATAGTCCACAATCTCTTGTGGATCAAAGTTTTGTGTTTATTTTATAACAGATGTGAACTGTTCTCTTAGCTTGTCATTACTTAATTAAAAGTTCATGGTGATTTGGGACAGCCAGCAGGGCTTCACCAAGGGCAAGTCCTGCCTGACTTTCGATGATGGAGTGACCACATCAGTGGGTAAGGAAAGGGCTACGGGTGTCATCCCTCTGGACTTTTGCAAAGCTTTTGAAATGGTTCCACAGAACATCGTTCCCTCTAAATTGGAGAGGGGTGAATTTGATCGGTGGATTAGGAATTGGTTGGATGGTCACATCCAAAAGATAATGGTCAATGGCTCAGAGTCCCAACAGGCACCACTGACCAGTGGTATCGCTCAGGGGTCCATAGTGGGACCAGGAGTTATTTAATATCTTCATTAGTGACACGGGGATCGAGTGCACCCTCAGCAAGTTTGCAGATGACACCAAGCTGAGCAGTGCAGTGACATACCTGAAGGACTGGATGACATCCAGGAGGATCTGGACAAGCTCAGAAAGTGGGCCCACCTGGGTGGGGAAAACCCCCAGTATCAATCCAGACTCTGGGATGAACAGATCGAGAGCACCCCAAGGACTTGGGCGTGCTGGTGGATGAGAGGCTGGACATGACCCAGCAATGTGAGCTCACAGCCCGGAAAGCCAAGTGGATCCTGGGATGCATCAGAAGCAGCCTGGGCAGCAGGTCGAAAGAGGGGGTTCTGCCCCCCTACTCTGCCCTGGTGAGACCCCACCTGCAGTGCTGCATCCAGCTCTGGGGTCCCCAGCACAGGAAGGACATGGATCTGTTGGAGCAGGTCCAGGGGAGAGCCACCAACTTGATCAGAGGGATGGAGCATCACTCCTGCAAGGAAGAAAGGCTGAAAGAATAGGGATTTGTTCAGCCTGGAGAACAGAAGGCTTCAGGGAGACCTTATAGCAGCCTTCCTGTACCTTGAGGGGGTTTACAAGAGAGCATGAGAGACTGTTAACAAGACAAGGAGGAATGGCTTTTAACTGAAAGATGGTAGGTTTAGATTAGATATTAGGAAGAAACTCTTTACTGTGAGGGTGGTGAGGCACTGGAACAGGTTGCCCAGAGAAGTTGTGGATGTCCCATTCCTAGAAGTGTTTAAGGCCAGGTTGAACGGGACCTTGAGCAACCTGATCTAGTGGAAGGTGTCCCTGCCCACAGCAGGGGGGTTGGAACCAGGTGATCTTCAAGGTCCCTTCCAACACAAGCCATTTTGTGATCCTATGATTCTCTTAAGAAAGAATAAATCTGTATATCAAAAGAATACATATATAAAAAGAATATATATATATATATAAAAAAAGAATTACTGCAAATATAACCTAAGAAGTAAAGCAAAAAGGCAATAAAGAAAAATTCCTCCTTGGAGGTTTTTCATTACTGTTGTATTTTACCTCTTCTAGGCTTTCTTCCAAATTCCTATCAGATATTTCTGGCTTCTCCCTGCTGTCTGCTTACATTACAGTTACTAATGTTCCTGCTTCTGAGGTGAAGGCAGAGTTATTTCCAAGTCAGCTACTGTTGTTTCACAGTCATCCCATAGTGAAGCTGCCAAGTGATGCTTTGTTTACTCCTTTTGCATCTGTGCTCTCATACGTTGGCTGCACATATGTTTTCCATGCTGTGTGGTAGCCCATCTAGTTGTGAGAGAATGAGGCTGAAAGTATTCATCTTGGCTTAATAATTAATAATAATTATAACAAGTTACTATTTTTTTAATTACAGAAGCTGACACTCTTCTCTTGCACTCATGGTTCCTGTGCCTTGCAAAGGCCAAAGAACAGAAACTCAGCCTTACAGACTGGGACCATGATCCTGGCAACTGATCCAAGTGTTTAGAAGTCTGCATAGTGCTCTCAGAAGCTGTTGGCTTGCACTGCATTGAGAAAGGCATAAGAACTAAAAGTGTTCTTTTAAACCACAAAATGTGCACATAAGTGGGGCTGCAGTTAAGTCTGTTATGAAAAACAGTCTTTTTAGGATAAATGGAATTGTACAATTAAATTTAAGATTCATGCACAGACAGGGTTGTATTGTTGAAGCAGTCTTTAAAGTTGGGGTTTTTTTCACCCCTCCTGATTTTTGATGGAATAAGCTTTGTAATTGCTTTACTTCTTCACAACTCTGCATGTGTCAGATCTGAATGTGATTTAACTGAACAGGGAACTGCTCATTTTACAGCCTATACTGGAAGGAGCAATATTGTACAAAAGCATAACAGAGATGGGTTAGCAAGAACAATGACATTTTCCAAACTAGTTTTGCTTATGCATGTAGTAATGTTTACCAGGTGTCAGATAGTTGTCACCAGTGAAAATATGCAGATACAAGTGGGCATGGAAAAGTTACTGTGTTTTCTATTACTTAGGATTGCGTGTTCACCTACGTGCAAAATTATCTCCTTGCTGCTTGTGCTGTATTTCTTGAGAACAGTAGTTATTTTCAGTGCATTTTAGCTGTGGTTTTGAACCAGAAGTTTCATATATGGAACTTTCAAAGTGCACAAGTGAAAATATCACATATTTAAACTTTAAAAGCCACTAACCTTGTTTCCTTGTTTTGTTTTTTAAAATATAGTGAAAGCTACATACCAGAAATATATACGTTGATGATCTTTAACTTATTGTGCTTAGGCGTGACTGCTGTGAAATGTGTATATACTGTAAGTAACTGAACACAGCTGAACACCTTTTAAGTATTGTGGGAATGGGAAAATTTTAATGAATGTCCTCTGTAAATTTCATTCAAGAAAATTCTGAACTGTTGAGCTATTCAAGTGTGTGTAAGTGTGAACCTCACTGCTGGACCACGGGTTTTTTTGAACATTTTTCCCACTCCCTCGCGTTTTCTCTCCACCAGTGAAACTGGTTTTGAGCCATGGAGGGCTTCATTCAGCTACGGTTTTCAGGTGAGCAGGGCGTTGTTTTTCAGGGACAGGAGAACAAGGTTTACTCTGGTAATATTTTGTACTGTCAGGATGGAGCCTTCTCAGCCCTGCTCCATTCCTGCCAGTTCCTGCTCTGTGTTTAAGGTGTATTCTGTGCCTGTTGATGTGTGAAGTCCTGCTATAGCATATGTATTATGTCTGTTAGATGGGATTTGTTAATGCTGGATGCGTGACCAGCATTGCCTTGTACTCTCTCATGTAAGGGCACCAATGCCACACTGTCCATGACTCTATTTCATCATATTTTTACTGCCTGAGGCAGCAATATGGAACCCATCAAGAGTCTGAGCTGCCATTTCCAGTGAGTTTAACTTAATGTTTAATAATTTGTGAAGATAATTGTCTTCATTCTTATTGTAGCTGTTTATTATATTTTAACAAATATTTCACTAGGTGCTGGTCAGTGTCAGTACATAAAAATATACAGAACATCTTTAAGACCCTTAATAGCTATGACTTTAGCGCCTGTTAAAACAGCACTGATCATGACAAAAATTCTAGTGCAGGAGTATCGGTGTGTTTCATAGATGGAAAGAGATATATTCTGTTCAGCTACCTCAGTGCTTCAGCACAAGGTCAGTACTAGACCTGGAGCAGGGTCCAGTTTGTTGCCACGCAGCGTTGTTATCATGTTTGTTATGACCCCTAGATTGCTTACTACTGATTTAAAAAAAAAAAAAAGTACAGTCATTGTTTTGAAAAAGTAGAACAGAAAAAGAAGATTGTGCTTCGTTGTAGCATTAATAGATCAGTGACAATAAAATTCTGTAGCAGCAGAGAGTAATAAAAGAACAAGCCTAATGTCCCTTAAAAATCATTATGTCTGATGAGGCAGTTGTATCACTTCCTGCTCCAGTGACTGACAACATCTTTATCCAGTATTCATAACCACATTCTTCTGGAAACTAATCTGTCCTTTTTCGTATGTCCGTATGTTTCCTTGTCTTCCTCAGAAAATGCATTTGGCACTGAGAGAAAAGAAACTGCTGATATTGAATGTCTCCATATTTCTGCTTACTCTATTGGCAGGGCTGTATTTGTGGGGGGTTTTAAGCATCTTATTTTAAAGAATATCAGATAGACAGTATCATATAATATCTTATGAAACGGGACATTTTTTCCTCCTTTCGTATATCCATGCACACCATCAAAACTCAGATTTCATCTTTTGCCTGTTTTTAGGTGTAAATAACATGGTATAACCCTCCAGCTTTTGCTAAGAAGTAAATAATAATTTTGATGTCAGATCAGATGCCAGGTTTACAAAGGCAGCCTGCAGTCATTGGTTGACTGGTGAAACAAGAATTCCTTGGTTTAGGTTCTTGAGGGAGTATTGCTTGCAAGTGACCATTTTCACAGTGAAATTAATGCTACAACCCACTCAAAAGAAAAAAAAAGGAAAAGCTACTCAAAAGAGGAACACTGGTGTCTTTATTCATAGTACTGTGATTATACAATATATTATTTTCAGTGTAAATCCCACAATCTGTCCTGCTTGTATTTTTGGAATCTTTGATGACCAAATGTTTTGAATTGTAAAGGATGGCTGTGGTTTAAGTTTCACACAAAAGCACATGTGGAGTCCATGTGCAACCCTTCTAAATTTTGATATTAAAACATATCAGTTAAAGCTGGGGCACATGAGGAGTGAAGAATTTGCATTTAAATTAATGTACTCTCACTTTCTAACTCAGTGGATGAAATATCAATACCATCATGTCAGTTATACTGCTCCTGCTGCCTATACAATATTGATTATGGGTCATAAAAACTTTCTGTTCTATAACAATTAGGCTAGTGAGAATTTCCACATATATCCTAGCCTGAAGACCATTTAGCTTCTTAATAACTTGGTGCTCTGTTAGAAGTATCTTACAAGATGTTTTGTGAGAATGCTCTCATACCGCCTTTGTATTTTGGGACTTTTCTGCTTTAGCAGCTCTTTAAAGACACAATTAATTGTCCTCTTTTTTCTATTTTGCTTAAATAACACAGCTTGGGAAAGAGGAAAGGGGAGAAATAATTGCTTTACCGGTTAAAATAGATGGGCAGCCCTACACTGCCAATCTGATTAGAATGGCCTGGGTTTTGGCATTGTCTGCTGTTTTACAAAGTTTACTTACTATGTGGAGAAAGAGTAAGAAGTCTGGAAGTCTCTCCCTAAATTGCTTAGAAAAAAAAATTCCATCTTAAAGGGGGGGGAAAGAGGGTTTGGTGGTTTGAGCCCTCTTTCATGGTTTAGGACTTCAGAAGAATTATAGCCTTGTGTTACAGGCAATTGCTTTGCTAACTCTGCACTTTCCTGGCCTTATGAACACAGTAAGTAATTCTGCTTTTTGTAAAGATTCCATGTACACCCTTTCTGTGGAACATAGGTTGCCAGCTGGTTGGTCTGAGCCGGAATGAGAGTGCTCATTAACTGAGTAGGCTAAAAAAAATACAGGAAACAAGGGAAGGATTTTTGGGAGATTGCTTACAAAAGAAATTAATAGCTCTGATGGATGAGGACATTTGTCGCTCTCAGTGAAGCAAAAGGCTCTAGTGACTTAAAGCTCTTCAGTTAACAATTTTTGTCATATGGAGTGAGTTTAATGGAATTCCTAATCCTACTGGAGTGAGAAATTTCATGAACTTTACTGGCTTCAGAAAGGAGGTATCTCCTTTAAATGTCTCACCCTATCTTATTTTGAGTCTTATCTACTTTGACTGTAGGATTCTTTTGTGTGCCTTTTTTTCCCTAAAGACAGGAGAAATATTAGAATCACATAATCATGGAATATGCTGAGTTGGAAGGGATCCACAAGGATCATCGAGTCCAACCCTTAGCCCTGCACAGGACCATCCCGGAGAGTCACACCACGTGCCGGACTATTGTCCAAGCACTTCTTGAACTCTGTCAGTCTTGGTGCTGTGGTCACTTCCCTGGGGAGCCCGTTCCAGTGCCCAACCACCCTCTGGGGCAAGAAACTCTTTCTAATATCCAACCTATACCTCCTCAGACAAAACTTTAGGCCATTCCCTCAGGTCCTGTCACTGGTCACTACAGAGAAGAGATCAGCGCCTGCCCTTCCTTTTCCCCTCACGAGGAAGTTGTAACTGCAGTGAGGTCTCCCTGGTCTCCTCCAGGCTGAAACAGACCAAGTGACCTCAGCTGCTCCTCATACGGCTTCCCCTGAAGACCCTTCACCATCTTCATTCCCCTCCTTTGGACACTCTCAAACAGCTTAATATCTTTTTTATATTGTACCCCAAACTGCACACAGTATTCAAGGTGAGGCTGCCCCCATGCAGAGCAGAGCGGGACAAACCCCTCCCTCGACTGCCTGGTGATGGTTTGCCTGATGCCCCTCAGGATACAATTGGCCCTCCTGGCTGCCAGGGCACTGCTGATTCATATTCAGCTTAGTCTCAAAGTATAATATAAGGTGCATACATAACAAAATGTTAGCAGCACTGGGTTTTTCAGTACACTGGAAGTTGAAAAGATTCCTGGAATTATAAATCACAACTTATTTCAAATGTGACACATCATAGAAGGAGCCTTGATTGTGAGTTTATCTCGTACTGCTTTTTATTTTGAAAAGGTGTTGCACTTGTGTGTCATAAAAAAAAACCCAGAGAATTATCCAGAAATCCCTGCATGGAAATGATAGTGTGATTCCTAAAAGTTTTAAGCTTTGTGGATGACAGAGGCCAATGAAAAATTATTTTCAACAGGGTTTTCAAAAGAAACGGTCAGAGAAAGAAGATAGGAAGGAGGAAGACCTTTAAACCACTCTAATATTGGTTGAACCTGCCCTGAGGCATGACCTGCACAGGCTTTTATTGAAGGACTGTACTTGGGCTACTTAATGAAAGAATATGGGTGCATTCATGTCTGTTGAGAAAGAGAGTTAAAAATAGATATCCTGAGTTGTTCTTTACAGCAATACTTACTGAATTTTCCTTTCAGCACCGAAGAGTAGTCTCCAGAACCGTCTGCTCTTTCACTTGGCACATAAGGTATGATGTCTTTTCTTCACTCATGCTTTGTTTGTTTTCTTTTCAATTTGGTAAGGTGTAATTTATGCTGGCAACCTGGCAGAATAATTAAAACGTCTGTTGTGGCAGAAGAACAAACATTTTCAATAACCACCCTCCTGTATTAAAATGTGGAGGAGAAAGTAAGTGTGAAAACATGATCTCAGAATAGATGCCCTCAGCATATTTCTAAGGAAAGTCTTACCAGTACACTTCACATAAGTCATACAATGGGAACCTGATGACATTTTTGATCACAAGGAACCTGAAAGCTTAAGAGAATCAGAAATGTATAAGCCACTATTTTTTTTTTTTTTGGAAGTGTACCAAGTTTTCCTAACTTGCAGCTCTCTTACACTTGGCAATTTGACCAAAATGGTGTGTATGCTATTACTGATCCTCCTAAGTAATTCAGTATCCAGGAAGTCATATTGTTAATAGCATGAAATTTACTTTAATTTCAACAACAATTAAATGCCTGTTTCACCACACATAGCTACCTTCCCTTAATTTAAGTTTTGTACCACCCTGTGTTATATTTAACAAGTATTTTGCTACTGAGGACACTGAGTTGAAAGAAAGTAAAAATCCTGAATGTTAAGCTTTGATGTCAGATTCTCTTTACTTAAATCTCTCTTAATTTTAAGAGAGAAATCTTAAACTGTTTTTATAGTGGCACTGGCACAGATGTCTGTGATGAGCTAGGAATTAACTTCTTATCTAGTTAGTCATTGGAAATAAAGGGCTTTATCAAACTATGAAGCCCATTGCCTTTAGTTCTGCTGAGCAACTTATCTTGCCTTTTATCTGGAGTATCATTTTGTGACTGGCTCAAAAAGGGAGGAAAAGAAGCTGAAGAAAACTGAGATGGTAGGTACGAAAACAAATACATAAGATTAGAATTTGTGTGTAAGAGAAATTCATAATTATTGTTGAAACAGCAAAACCAGCAAAGGGAAACACTGGAACAAGCGACTCAAGTAGACTGCTTAGGTAAATAGCCACAACTTCACTATTGTAATACAAATATAATGTGTATGTTTAATCCCTGTTTTTTATCTTGTATGTGTGTGTTATGTGCTATTCAGCAATGTTTTTAAAAATAAACCATTTAGTTAAACTGAAATTTTAAGGGGCCAGTGAAAGAGAATTTGTTAGTACCGTAAAGAAGTCTTGTGAAAATTAGAGCTTATGCGTTGGCAAGTCTTGCGTTTTTCTGCTATCCGTGGAAATTTGATTTGGATCTACAAACAGCAGAATTTTTGCTGGCTTGAATAATAGCAGTCAAATGTTGTGTTGCGAAATTCCGTCTGTGAAATAATTAATTCTTTACCTCTTATCCATCAAAGCACGTGACATCTAATTATATTTAAATCTCACTTTCAAGGAAAATGTGTGCTTAGTTTTAGCCTAACATTTATCCAGTTCAAACTGATCTCCTTCTTAAATGTTTGGCTTTCTCCACTGGTCAAATTAACTTTAAAGTAACAGAGTTTTTTGGCATGTTTGATATTAATCACCTGCTGTTTACCAGCAAAACTAATCTAGCTAATTAAAATATTTTTCTTGATGAACTCATCTGAGGATGTGTCACACTCTTTTTAGTTCAATGATGAAAAGAAACTGATGAGCTCTCACCAGAATCTGCAAGATGTTACAGAAGATCAGCTTAGCTTGGCATCTATCCACTACCTGCGGGCCCACTACCAAGAGGCAATTGATATCTACAGGCGCATTCTACTGAAGAATCGGTGGGTATCTCTAAGCCTTATTGCAGTGTCTGTGCTATTGTTGGTATTTAAATTCCATATAGTTTCTTGGTTTCTGAAAGTGGACGTTTTCCACAACTGCTATGTCCCTTTCCCATTGCAAAATGTACACCAGTTGCAGCCCCTTGATTTTTGTTCATTGCAAAGTATGTTTGAAGACTGAATGTTTAAAAAGAAGTCTGCTCTCTGTTGTTTTCTTTTAGTGTTACGATTGTGTAATTCATTCTGACATTTTTTTATTTTTTTACTTATTTCTTCTGAAATGATACATGGTTATGTAACTGCTTTGTCTTTTTCTTTTTTCTCCTCTGATGACCAGTCTGGTGATCCTTGCTTGAATTATTGACTTCTTCACCTCTTAGCCTTTCTAAGAATGGTTCAGTTGTTGGGTTTTATGTAAAGTTCCTTGCATTCCTTGAAGTCTGAAAGTCTTTCCTTTTCTGTTTTTCCCCTATGACACTTGTTGATGAGTTTTCCTATCATGTTCTGCAAATTTTTAATTCACAGTTTAGGAAGAAATAAATTGAATTCTTAAATGACTAGAAGTATTGTTTAATAAAATAGAAACTGCGGTCCCAGAATACAGCTCTCTTTTGGTGGTATCTCCTCTTGGACATTTCAAAGAAATCCATCATAATGTATATAAGTATGTCATGTAATGCTTGGGAAGAGATTTTAACTTCCAAGTCCTGCAGAAGCAATCACTCAAAGCTAAATGAGTAACCTTCATAACAATTATCCTTTTACTTACAGTTTCCACAAATGCTTCTCTTATTTCTCTGTCTAGTTCTTCTGGCTTGACAACTTGTAATGACAAGGATTTTTTAAAATAATTGTACTTGGTGCAAACTTTTATGCACATATTAAATGTCTTTGCATGTGTTGCTTAGAAAATCCTGTTCTGCCAGGCCAGATACAATGCTCATGTTCTGCATTTGTAATCTGCATGTTCTGTGCAGTTGCCACCGTTTCCCAGATTTGCAAATGAAAAGTTTTGTAGATAATACTTAAAAACTGCAGTAACTGCTGTGGGAAAAAAAAATAATGTGAATCTGGACGTGTGCAGTCTTAGCTAACAAACTAGAGAAGCTCTAAGCATTTCTCAGAAACCCCAGTTTTTATGTGCTTGTAAAATACGTATAGACATGTGAGAGCTTTATTACTGGTTTTAATGCTCTGTAATGGGAAATGATAAACTATCTGCTGGGATTTAAATGTTCTCTTTAATCCTCTTTCCTGCAGGGAATACCTGGCTCTGAATGTATATGTTGCCCTATGCTATTACAAACTGGATTACTATGATATATCACAGGAAGTGCTAGCTGTTTATCTTCAGCAAGTTCCTGACAGCACCATTGCTCTTAACCTTAAGGCTTGTAACCATTTCCGACTTTACAATGGGAAGGCTGCTGAGGTATCTGTTGGACGGTCCCTCAATTCACCTTTATTTTAGTTTAAGAATCCATACATGTTTCTTTTCCTTGTTATCTGTCTTAATCAGTAATGTTTATAATGGCCTTTATCTTGTCATTGCATCCTTCTTTTAGGAATGTCACCTATTTCAGTTTCCCTGGTATTAACCCATCCATCCATATGTGTGCACAGTGGTCTTACCATTTTCCCAGTTCACTTTTGATCTTGTGTTTATACGTATTATCCAGTTTCTAAAATTATCACAAAGAAGTGGGAAAGCCAAATCTTCCAGTGGCCCAGTGCTGGTGGAAATATATTTCTGTCAATTTTGGAGCTCATTTGAAGCTCCATTTAGGCTTATGTGGTTCTATGTTTAAATTCTGGAATGTATGTAATTCCAGGCAGAGCTCAAGAACTTGACTGACAATGCCTCATCATCTTTTGAGTTTGGCAAGGAGCTCATTAAGCACAATCTGGTAAGTAATGCATTTCTGGGATTTAATATGAACAGCACTCATTTGTAGAGCTTTTCATGATGATTCATAAAATGGAATATTTTGGTAATTGCAAACCTAATAGAATTTTTCTTCCATGCAAGTCCCATTCCAGGAATCCTACCTGTATAATGAATGTGCCGTCTAGTGTATTTATTCTTCCCCTGGAATTTTTCCCTAACAGTTTGAGGCTGTGTCAAGGAAAATAATAATGCTGTTGTTTGTAGACCTGAAGGCATATTAAAATAACATATGTTGTGTAAGAATACCTTTGCAAGATATTTTGGAGAGCCCACTCAATAAGGAAACCGTTGAAACAAGTCAGAATGTATGACCCTGAACTCTTTATGTAGTACCACAACAACGTGAGTGGAATTAAGATAACTAGTGAAAATGGCCTTCATCCAAAAAGTACTAAATAAAGAGTTCTAGGAAAAAAACTGCTGGTAAAAGCCAAAATACTTGTCACTAATCACTAGTTAATTTTCTCTTCAGTGGTATTATTACTTTGTTGTATAACTGGTAACAGTAGATTGCTTTTATTTAATGATGGGCAGTTGCTTGCTTTGTCGTTTTTCAAGAGCAGTCATAACAAGCTAGTGCTTCTTTCCCCAAGAGTTAAAACTGTTTTCAAATTGGACTTTTTGTCAGTTAACGTTGTTTATTTTGTATGCTGGTCTTTTTGCCACTGATTTATCGAATAACTGTGTTAGATTTTGTGGAAGAACCGTCATGTGAAACTGAAGTATAATCAACTGCTCCTGACTATTTTAGCATTTTTCTAAATAAATGTAGAGTTGTTCGTCTAATTTTTTCATATAAAAAATCATGAGCAAATTGTAATTTTGTACGTGTTCCCTTCACTCTTGTTTCAGACAATATTATTCTTTTAAATCTGTGATAAAATTTTGAGCTGCTAAAAGTTGAAATAAATTAATCTTTACTGATGGATTAAATACTTTATATTCTTCTGAATAAAGACTGTCACACTTAGTAATTCTATAGCTATATTAAAGCAGGGATTATGCTAATGCCAGAGCCACTGACCTTTTCCTACTGTTAATATAGGAATTTAAGGATTAATTTCCTTGAATTAAGATATCATAGAAGAGATTTTGATACATGGTTATCAATATGCTGGTTTTCTCTGCAGGTGGTTTTCCGAGGAGGAGAAGGGGCTTTGCAGGTCCTGCCTCCTCTGGTTGATGTTATTCCCGAGGCAAGACTGAATCTTGTGATTTACTATCTCCGGCAAGGTAAATACACCTTCCTCTGGCTTTTTCATACCTTCAGAGATGACATTCATTCATCTTATCTCAACTGACTATTCAATTAAATGCTTTTTTTCTTTGCAGGAAAATGTAATCTGTTTAATTTTCTGTTTCTCCAGAAAATAGTGAAGTAAGAGTTTCCATGGCTTGCAAAGAAGGGCTTCAGTTGTGTGCAGTCAAATAAACCTACTTAGCAAAATATTGCAGGTTCTTGGGTTGCAGGAGATGGCTTTGGGGACAGTGGTGTTTAACTGTTTCTTGTGAGATGACCTCTGCTCTGCCTGAATGTGTGAGAATAGTAGGCATATGTCCTCTGAAGGCAAGGACAACTATTTCTGTAAATATAGCACAAACAGGATATGAGCCAAAGTGGCTGTGAACAAGGCTACAGTTGTGAACAAGACATTGCATTAAAAATCTACTTTACAACCCTTAAGGAATGCAGGTAGGTAGCCAGAATCAGTTGGAAAGGATTCTGTACTAGTATCTCTCCTTCATTTGCCAGATTCTTTGAATTATATCTGAATTTTTCAGAGCCATTACTTTTCTCCCATTGTGTTCTTTTATTCAACGATGGATTGAGTGGCTGTGTGACTCAAGCCAGGTCCAATTAGGTCATGTTGCTTAGTCAGAACTTCCTCTGTTCTACCTTGTGTCCATTGCCTTTCATCTTACTCTGTGGAGCCTGTCTCCATCTTCTCTGTACCCTTCTGTCAGTAAGTTGCAGACAGTGATAAGATCTTCCTTGAGCCTTCTCTTCTGAAAGCTAAGCAAATGCAGTTCTCTCAGCCTCTCCTCAGCCCCCTTCTTGCCTTGGGAGTCCTTGGGTGGGCTCACTCCAGTATTTCAATGTCTGACTTAATTGAGTGATCGACACCATACTCCAGGTGCAATCTCACAGGGATCAAATAGAGAAGAATTCCTTCCCTTGCCCTGATGGCTACATTCATGTTAATATGATCCAGTGTACAGTTGGCCTCCTTTGCTGCAAGGCTGCACTGTCTGCTAGGTTGCCTTTTAGCCAGTCAGCTCCCCACCTGACTTGTTGCTCAGGCAACCAAGCAGGATGCAGGACTTGCATTTTGCCTCCACTGAACTTTATGAGATTTCTTTCTTTCAGCCCATTTATCCAGCCTGCTGAGCTACTTCTCAATAGCTGGGAGCTTTCTTCGGAATCTTTTATCATTTGCAAACTTGCTGAGAGTACTCTGTCTGGATCATGAATATAAATATAGATAAGACATTAAACAGTATCAGTCCCTGGGGAATTTGATTAGTAATGAGCCACCCGATGGATTTTGTACAACTGATGACTGTCTTTTAATAGTCCAGCCAGTTTTCCATCCCTTTATAGTCTTACTTAGCCAATCCTATCTTTCAAGCCTGTATGAGAGACCATGTCAAAGAGCTTGCTAAAGCCAAGGTATACAGTATCCACTACTATCCCCTTATCCATACAACCAGTCATACAGTGGGTTAGTCACTACACTTTGGCATTGGTAAATCTATGCCTGCTGTTCGCAGCCACCTTTCTGTCCTGTATTGTTGCCAGTTTCACTATAGGCAATTTTGGTATTATTATCTTGCCCAGTAATATTGTTAATAATAATATATATGTTTCAAATTAAGTTCTACTTACACAGAAACAAAGTACATCTCGTGCATCACTTAAAAATCAGTATTCTTTACTCAATTGTCATTAACCTTGCAGTAATTTTAATTAGTTGGATTCTGCCCTAAGGTTCTCCTCTTAGGTTCTGTACATTGTGGTGTACAAATGACTTGCATACTGATAAAGAAGGTCAATGGGAATTAGGATTAAAACCTCTTTCCTGGTTTGTCTAAGTTTCCATTTCTAACTCTTGCTGGAGTAGCAACATCAGTTAGGAATGTGAGAAATCATTACTTCTAATGACTACAGCTGTCTCTCCAAACTTAAAAGGTTTCTGATACAGGTAGGTTGGTGTTAATACATGCTCAGAGCTGGAATATCTGAAGCACAAACATGCATCCCATTTTTATCAGTTCTTCAGGGTAGTGACTTTTAGCAAGGTTTGGGGCCTGTTGGTATCTGGTTATAATCTGCTCCCATGAGATTTGCTAGAGGCTTCTCTTGGAGCCTGAAGAGCATAGTTCTGTGTTGAAGGTCTCCACTGATGAAAATAAGGGCTGCTGTCATACTTTTTGTGGTGGTGGTGGTGGTGGTATGAGTTAGCCAAAAAGTGGTTGAATGAATGGTATATACTAACAAAAAAAAGGTTTTGTTTGATAAGGCCTGTTTTTGTGGGCAGCTGGTATAATGCTGTGTTAACAAAATTTTGCTAGTAAAAGAGCAGCTTCACTAGATTGGTTTACAAAGCCAAGCGCAGATCTACCAACATCCTTTTTTTTTTTATTTAGGTAATATTTAGGATCTTTTCAGTTTCTATAATTCTTGTGTGGGAAGGAAGTTGCTTACTGATTTCAAACTTCACATTAAAACTTCTATACTAGTAGTGCTTTCCTTGTTAGAATTAGAATCAGGTAAGAGCTACTGGACAGATATTGAAATATTGATAAGGAAAAGATGAAGTTTACCTACAGCATCATGTTACCCTATCCTCCTTGAGGGGTAAATCAATATGAGAAAAGAAAATAAAGGAAGATGATGGATTTATGATTTTGACCTTGTGCCGTTGAAAAGGCAGCCACTAGGTTATGAATAAGGGAGCCAAATCATCTTTACTAGGAAAATTGTAATAATAAAGAAGCTATTACTCACTCCGTGTTTGTTATTTAAGTTCTAGAAAACCATCACCATTGTGATAGAAATTCACAATGATTTATAGTTACCTTTCTCCTCCTGTCTAAATGGTTTATTTCTTAGTCTATGACTATTGGGGAATGTTGTAGAGGATGACTGACTTGTTCTAATACAGTGTGCTATGGGTTGTCATGCATCCTAATGTTTGGCATTTCAGATGATGTGCAGGAGGCTTATAACCTGATAAAGGACCTGGAACCTTCAGCTCCACAGGTAATTGGAAACTGATGTCATGGCACATAGATGTTATAAATTGATATGAAACCTGCCACATAAAAAACTGGTATACTGAGGACAGCTTGCCCCATTCCCACTCCTAAAACTTTTGTGTTTTCCATTCCTTCATGAACAAAAGATTTAATATGCATGCATAAATTATTATATATGTGCATATATGAGTACTTAGACTGTTTATTACTGTACCACCTGGGGCAGATAAGAATATAGCTCTGTTGTGTGCAGCTTTTTGGGGAGCTGACCATTAGTGCATAGATAAAAGCCCTCTTCCAACTACAGCTACTTGTCACTTCTGCCCTGGTGATGATTACATCCCTCAGATCTGCTAGTTCAGGTGCTCATATGGTTTGTCCTGAAGCCATTTCAATAAAAATGAGCTAGATTAGATGGAACAGTTTAAATAAATGGTATTCTCTAATCCCATCACACTTTGGCTGCCATGAGTGAAAACTGCAGTGTCCCTTGGCTGCTACTGTAATTTTCTTTTGTGGTTATTCCAGCAGCTTTAGTCTCTGATTTATTCCTCTTTGCAGTTTATTTTCCAAAGGTCACATAGCTGGGCATGAAAGGGACCTTTCATGACTCTGTGTGAGGAATTATATGGAGGGAGGGAAAAGGAAAACCTCAAGAACACAGATCTGGTGGTTCTGTGCTGAGGAGGGTCTTCTGATGTTGCTTTACATTTCTTGCATTTTTCAGTATGGCAAGACTTACTTGAACAGCCAGTGGTCCTTTAGCCTCTGTTTTCCCCATATACATGTCTAATAATTCTTTATCACATTTTTAAATGAGAATCTTTCTACTTCTTTTTCCATTTTTCACTTACACTTGTAAAGAACTCCCTGCTAAGACTTGCAAAACTACTTTAATAACCTCCTTGAGTACTTCGCAAATTCTTCATCACCATGCCTGTAGGATAATAATTTGGCACCTGTAAGAGAGTTGGTGTGCTAAAATGATTACTTAGCATCCTGACTAGTACTCTCAGATTGTTTCCTTGCATTCCATTGTTGGTCTGTGTAGATGTGTCTTTCTCTTTTTCTGTGTTTATCTCTGTAACAAGGCTATCCAGGTTTATCAGGAACACCTACTAAAACAGGTTTATAGCTATAACTCTTAACTTTAAGATTTGTATAAGATAAAAGAGCCTGTTACATGCTGAGAAAATCTTGCTCAGCAAGGATGTTAGTGGTTGTGGTTAACCTATGTGCATATTTGAAATGGGATCTGTGCTTTAGTATAACAAGATTGTACTTATTGGTCATATGATGGTGAGGGGGGCATGAAAGGATGTTATCATGTTCCTTCTGGTGCATTGTCTTTGACCATAACACTTTTCAGAAAACACAGTACTCCTTTGCATTCCACAAATTTAGCAGAAGTGACTACCTAGCAAGTAGAATGCATTTTGAGGGGCTAGTACTACAGTACTACTGTGATTAAGCATTATCCTAGTAACCAGCTACCTACTAAACTGAGCTGGGATAGAGTTGAATTTATGAAGAAAATAATGTACACATAGGCTTTTATGTGTCTTATGAAATCTTTACCTTGTCTTCTCTGATGCTTTTCACAATTCTTTTTCAGGAGTACATCCTCAAAGGAGTCGTAAATGCAGCACTTGGACAAGAAGTTGGCTCAGTAAGTGAAGCCCATGAAGTTCTCCAGCTTCTCCAACAACAGAATGTGAACATATCTATAGAGACTAGAAAGGACTGAATGACACAGTAATTTCTCATTTATATTGCAGAATCTCTGAGTCTCTCCATACAGTCCAGAATGAGTAAAAGGCAAATTTCCATTGCTGGTCTTGACAGTAAATCAAGCTGAATTTGGCTTCTTTATCCTGTTTCCAAAAAAACTTTGTTTTCTACAGTATTCTTGTGTATCTAGGCGTATACAGTGGCATATTTACCTTTTCTGTTTTTCCTTCAGCCCTGGTTTGTCTGTTAGTTGCTCCCCATCTATTCCTAAGAGTATATTTTCATTGTGTATTGTAGCATCAACTCTGGAACCCGTGTTGGTTTTTGGTTTTTTTTCCTCTTCCAGAGAGATCATCTGAAAATTGCTCAGAAATTCTTCCAGTTGGTCGGGGAATCAGCCAGCGAATGTGGTATGTTTGAAATATTCTTTCTCCATTATGTAATCCATCTTAAAATATCCAAATACATACTATCCTATCTGTGTCTAACTCCTGACTGTTGGCAGGACTATTGCTAGGCATTTTGTTCTTACAGGATGGGTATCAGGAAGTGTAAAACAAATTTGGAAGTTTAAATTAGAAGGCTCATTTTGTTCCAAGCCTTACTGTATGACTTTGGCTGGAAAAGTGGCTGTACCGCAAACTCTTAGTCTTTACTGAGAGACTCTGTGGCTTGCCTTTGACTAATAATCCCCATTATAGAAACAGAAGACAACAGCCTAATTAATTAGATGAAGTGTGTGGCTGAAACTTCACAGGTACAGAGACTCACAGGTACAAATCTAGGACCACTAATGAAAACCTCTCAAGTACACAGAGTCCTAACATGGAGTGTGCACTGAAACTGAGGGTGATAAAAATGTGAGGAGGGCTTTACCTACAGACAGAAATGGAGGCTCTGGGACTAACTCCTTGCTTGAATGAAAAAAAAAACACCTGATAAAACCCAAGAAAAAAATCAGCATATTTTCAATATTTACTTCTACTTATTTGATAATAGGCCGAACCAAGACCTTATCTTCCCTTCCCTTTGCCAAAGTCAAAAATCCCCAAATAAAAAAAGCCAGTTGTTATAACATAGGAATTCAGCTGAAATAGGGCTTCCCAGTTTCCTTGGTAGGCACAGTCACTTAGTACTGTTTCTTTAGGTGGGTAACTTGTGCGTGTTGATGGTGCAGACAGCTCATGGTCCTCAGAGACAGAAAGCTGTCTCCTGTGTCCATGGTGACTAAAGAGAAGAAGCTCAAGAGAGCAGCAGCACTGATGAAACTTTCAGTAATACTGTTGAGTCATTCTGTTCTGTGCCACATCCAGCAGAGAGCTTCATGTTGGAAGGCTGGAAATGGTTCCATAGGTGAGATTTCCCTAGTTTGTTCCTTTTGCATTGAGGCTATCCCTTCAGAGTTGGGAGAACAGGAAGGAACAATATGAACTGTAGTAGTGGAGGACTTGGTTAGTAGGAATATAGCTACCTGGGCTTGTCATACCAGTAAAATCACAAGGGACTGATAACAGTGGTGGTGGATTCTTAATGCCTGTTACAGTCATGCAGGTGTAATGAACAACCACAGCATACATGGATAAAAATAATACAGTCTGAGAAAACATATCCTGAAAGGATTTGTAGTGAAGATGTAGCCCAAAACCAAAATTGAAATTGTTAGGAAGAAAAGGGTCTGAATTTCACTGTGAAATACTTTTAAACCCATATGCAAACTAAGATGGAAAGGCTGAGACTTCAACGGTTGATGGATGGAAAAAAATAATTATCAGTGAGTGAAATAATACTCTTTTAAAATATATGTTTAGATAGGCAACTCACCAAATTATTCACCAGACAACCTGGATGGGAACAGTGACTGACATGTTAAAGAGGTTTAGAGCTTTTATTTAGAAAGATAATAAAATAATAGTTGGAGGCTTCTCTTCTGGCCATATTGACCTAATAAATGCAGTGACATGGCATGACAAACAGCATGAACTTTTGAAGTGTTTCCATTTTGCTTAGAGAAGGCACAAGCGGGCAGGTAACTCTGGACCAATATAGAGATTACATAGAACCAAATTGGAAATTTTATGACGAAACTCCAATTCTGCTACAGTCATCGGAGTATAATCAAATTCTAAATCCGTGTGTTAGCAAATACCTCAAAAAATTTCCACAGAACTAATTTCAAGAAAAGAACGTACATAATAACCTTTCTCATTTCTGACAAAAAATTAGAGTGAAGTAGCAATGAAAAGGATAAAAAACACCTGATTTGAACATTTGAAAGAACCCTTTGTTTCTCTAAAGAAAGGGCTTGTATTCATAATTAATGAGCTATAGGATACAAGTAATGACATGACTAGGTTTGCCAATGGTACAAAATTACCCATAGTAGTAAAAATAAAAGCTTCCACAATGATGAAAGATATGAGAGACTATATAAGACTGGGTAATAATATGCAAATTAAATTTAGCAAAATTATCAGAAAAGGTGAAGAGAATCTTAGGAATTGATGAGAAAAGAGAGAACGAAACAAAAATAATTACTCTGTCATTGTATACATATGTGATTCTTTTCCTTGAATACTGTTTGCAGCTCTGATTCTTATATTTCTTAAAAAACGGTAGAACAAGAAAGGATACAATAAAGACAGCAAGGGTGATCAGAGAAAGGGGATAGCTTCTCAAACAAGGAGAGATTAAATAAAGAAGGATACATGGGCTGAAAAGTGATGACTGAGTTTGTTTATGTGCATCGTAAATGACAAGGAAAAGAGGAATAGGGAAGAATTATTTACTGTACAATACAAAACCCAAGGAGCATTGACATAAACTATCATATAAGGCAATTAAAACAAACAGCATGAATTACTTTTTCACATAATACAACTTATTTGATAGAGAAACTTGTGAGAACCACAAGGTAAAAAGAAACTTGTAGATTATAAGCCCATTAGCTGTTTAACACAAATTTTTCAGTGATTAAGTCCTCGGTGCAGATTGCTGGAAGCTAGGAGAAACTAATAATTGTGGGTCAGGGGTGGGCTGGGCATTGGTAAATAGATGGTGAGCAATTGTATTGTTTTTCTTGAGTTTTACTCCTCTCTCTCTCTCTCTCTCCCCTCTCCTTTCTCCCCCCATCTCTCTCTCTCTCCCCCCCCTCTCTTTTTCTCTCTCATTTTCATTACTACTGTTATTAATAATAATAATATTTTATTTCAATTCAATTATTAAACTGTTCTTATCTCAACCTACAGGTTTTACTTTTTTTTAGGAGAGGGGATGGAATGAACAAGTAGCTGAGTGGTACTTAGTTGCCAGCTGGTGTTAAACGACAACAGTCACCACAGGCTGATAATGTGGATTATCAAAAAATAATGGATTAAAATGAACATGTGGAATATTTTTTCTGACTTGCTTTTGTTAGCTGTAGAAATCCCATGACTGCATTAAGAAAAAGGCAGCAACATACAATTTAGGAAGTATAGTATAATTTATTTGTAAAGTCATTTGGAATCATCAGTTAAGGCCTTTGGTTTTTTTAATTAGATCTCTGACTTGGAGGTTGAAGGAACATAGAGCAACCTGAGTTAATGTGAAAGTCCTTTCCAATAAATGTACAGATTTTGTCCCAAGAGTGATATTATGAACTTTAATGGGAGTAGGGTCACCCAAAACAAAAACTAAAAAAAAAAATCCAGGAAGCACTTAAAATGTAGGAGTCAATATTCACCCTCTAGCAGCAATAAATAACACCCAGAACAGCAACTTGGTTACTGGGGTTTTTTTAAACTTAGTAGAAATTCTTAATCCTAATGATGTGAAATGGAACCGACATTACGAAGGAGGATATAACTAGATTTTTATAGTTAGTTCTCATGCTCTTCTACCAGGGTCTCAACTGAGTGGAAAATCAAACAGATCAGATTTTTAAGATAATTTAAGAAGGAAATGGGATCAGAGGAACATCAGTAAAAGTAAATTAACATTAATATTTCCATTAAATGCAGTCCTTCTGGTGCTTAACATAAGTGTTACAAACTATTCCAAAACCACTGCAAGCATAATAAAGAGCCCTTTTCTTTTCAGTGGTCCTCCTTTAGGACCAAGTCAGGCATATCTGATGTTGAGTGGGAGGAATGAAACATTTCTTCTGGACTTCATGTGGTCTTTTCTTTGAGGTACTCTTAGGTCACCCTGAGTAATTTTTTTAAATGACAAATTTTTCCTCTTCCTGCATGAGTCACCTGTGGTGCATTAGAACTGTAAAACTCTAGTTTTTCAGTCATTGCGGAGTTGTATAAGATACTCAGAAGTTTTATTTGTTTGTTTTTTCAACAAAATCTTTTACAAAAAGTATATAGAGGGTGGTATGCTGGGATAATAAAATTTTCTACCAAAATGTGGACAAAAGAATAAATACTAAAACTTAGAAACTCTCAAATCATATATGGGAAAATTGTGTTTCTAATATTTTGTTACTGTGATTCATTTTTTCCTAAAAAGGTATCCTTAGTTTTAATTCTTCTTTGCATGTTTTCCATTTTTTTAATTATGTTTAAAATAAATTGTGAGTTTATGAACCTTAAAAATTGAATGTCAGAGAAAATGAGCTTTTTTGAGTTACTTTCATTCTCATTACTCAGTGTTTTCTTCACTCTTTTTTTTGTTGTAAAACTGTTTCTGTTATTGTCCTGTAGAGGCGTATATTTGTCATGAAAAGTATCCATGCATGTAAGAAAGGACGTATAAATATACAGGCCAGTTTTGCTCACAAGTGAACAATTCATAAATGACCAAATAATTTTCTGAATTTGGAGAACAGAATGATGTGGTTCAGACATAGATAAGGATTGATTGCCTCCATACAGAAATGACAGGACACACAAGCTCCGTATCTCCTAGTGTTAAAAGATAAAAAATGAGAATATTTCACTTTCCTTTGAAATGTATTCTTATATAGTGCTTTCCAGGAATAATTACTACCCTGCCTTATTTAAAGGAGAAAATACAGTTTTCCAGTGGAATGCTCTATTTTGTGTGGTGGTATGGAGTCAAAATATTAGTCTTCAGTTACATGAAATTTCTATATGCAGAAAAGTTATTTTTAGTGCAGATGTATTGATAGTAACTAACATCCAGGAGCAGATTACTTCAGGGATATTGGTAGCCTTAGGATCTTATCTCTCGACATCTTTCCAAACTGCACAGAGCACATGCTCTCTAATGATCATTTCATGTAGAGAAATAGGAGTGATTTGAAATCACTTGCAGTTAGGCCTTCCCAGCTGCACTTGGGTTCATCCATCTCTTCTAGCTGGGTCTAACAAAACTTAGTTCTAGTAAGCTTACTTCAGGATCTTTAAAACAGCTTTGAAGTAGTTTTTCAGTAACACAGCTTACACTGTCAGAGAAGATGACAGCATAATACGGTTGCAGCAAAGTTATGATGACATAGATAGCAGCAAAATTTAGTGACACTCATTTGAACTGATGTGTCTAACTTATTTATGGCTTTACCACTTGTGAGCAATGTGGTAATTCCAAAACCATGGGCATTGATTTTCATATTGTCTGATATCACTGAGTATTTTCCTGTTCCTATATTAATTCTTTTTTTATAATGATATTTTCAGTGTTATCAAGTTTATTCTCTTATTTGTACTAAAATTAAAATATGTAGAGCTTCTTTGTCCAGGATAACTGAAAAGCATAATTTTAAAGAAAGAAGGCTAATGAGATTAGAATAACAAGCTCAGGTTTGTATGAAGTGCCATTTCCTAAGAGTAAGATTAATTCATGGTAAAATTATGCTACGTAAATTGTGTCATGGAAAAAGCTTGTTACTTAAACCATTTGTCTCTGTAGAGTTTGCTGTTGAATAAAGTCTTGCAATAGTTATTGGATGCTGTAGAGAGAGGTGTCAAGATGAACTGAAAGTTTTTTCTAAGCTCTAGTATGGTCCTTTGCCTGAAAAGGCAAGCTACACTATTTTTAGAAACTAGCTGCTTTCATAGTTGCCAGCAATCTTGGCAGTGATTTCCATTACTGTGTGTTTTTTAATTCTACAAATTTGCATTTCTCTTTTGAATTTTAGATACCATTCCAGGGAGACAGTGCATGTCCTCCTGCTTCTTTCTTCTTAGACAGTTTCCTAATGTCCTAATTTACCTCAACTCAATCAAGGTTGGTATATTATTTAGTATTGGTAGTACTGTAATGGATGGAATCACTACTTACAGACTGTACTATGTGAGACAAAATTGGAACATGAAAAGATACAGAAACAACAGTAAAAATAAAAGAGGAACAACAGTGGGACATAAGCGGTCAGCACAGCAAATGGATCAAAATGTAAAGAAGCAATTTAGAAAATAGCTTCATGCAGCATGGTGGGCATGATGGTCTCATCACATTTGCAATTTACCCATTATCAGGCTTTCTGGTGGCATCACAGAAGATGAGGAAGATAATTAAAGGAAGACAGCAAAAAAATTTATGGATATTTATGGGGTGGGCAGCATGGAGGAAAAAAACCCAAATGTTTTCTTAAGACTTACCAAATGAGTGATGGAGATTATTGTCAATGGTTGGGAGACAACATTTTAATGAACAAGAGTGTATAAAGAAGATAGGACATGAAGGAGTCTGAAAATAATAACTCCTATATTTTACAGAGAAACCAGTCCCTGAAGGGCTAAAATAGGGCAATATTACAAAAGCAGTAACTTAAGAACGCTATTTTTGCAGAAGTTATCTGAGTGGTACCCTGCAGACAATGTTACTTTTTTCAAACTAAGAAAAGGAGTTTGAAGTCAACATGATGCAGCATTATCAGATCACCAGTATTCAAAGGATAAAATGGGTATAACTTACAGATACACAGTTATAAGTCAGATGTGAGAAAAGAGGGGTCTGGAGTATGATTGTAGGTTGAATGATTGCAGTCTTGTTCCAGTGATTTGAAACTAGAGTTGTAACAACTATATTTGATAGGAAAAGGAATGAGAATCTTAAAAGAAATTATTTGGGAGATATACAAGATGAGCAGAATGACAATGTTCTAAGGAGGGTGAGATCTAAAGAAAAACATGGTTGTAATGGTGCCAAAAGCAGTTGATGAGTGAAAAAATGATGAAGGTGTAATGTTTTTAAACTTTGTCTGGAAAGAGACCTTTGAGGAAATCCCAGTGGCTCTAGCCACTGGCATGGCTCCAGTGGAGTGGAATGAAGAGACATACTACTGCCACCCCAAACGGGAGCATGTGTATATAGTTAAGAAAAGGAAACTAAGGGTGAGAATTTTTTTGCCAAACTTGAGCCATCTAAAAGTCGTATTTCTAGTTAGAACTGGTTATCTGGTCTCAGTTTACAGCCAATGGGTATAGACAGTAATTTCCAGAAAATTCATGCTGTATATTTCCTACACTTACAGTGCAGTGAATCACCCCACAGATATGCTCAGCTCTTTCCATTTCCGTTAAAAGGTTCTTAAACAGCTAGTTCTAACCTGAAAAGGTCAAAGTTAAATGTGATTACAAACCACCTTCAAGGTATATGGGACAAAACTTTACTCCCTCCTACAGCTTTTCTTGCATGATCGTTTTGAAGTAATCGATCATTCTCATAATTTTTTAGCTGAGAATAAGCATGCTCAGATTTATTTAAGTCATTTCCTTTCTCTTCAGCTCACAGGGATGCAAGTAATTCTTCCTTTACCATGTTACAGGCAAGGTGTAGGTGGCTTTACAGTTACCTTTGTGTTTCATTCATAGGAATAAACTTCAGTAGGATCTCTACATCTCTTAAAGTGGAGTATGCACTCTGTGAAGATTATTTGTGTGATGTTCTCTCAAGAAACGCTGTGTAACATTATCAGTTAAAACCACTTTAGGCATGAGAATTCCCAGAGGACTCCTTATTATAAATGTATTGCCAGCTGCCCCAAGGGTGACATTGTAACACTGTGAGAGATCAACTGAGAAAACAACCTGATTCAGGCTCAGCTGAGTTGTGGCCACAATGGGAATTCTTCATTGCTCAGCTGGGTATCTGAGCATCTCATTGAAATGGACATCACTCAGAGGACAGTTAGTTTTATGAAAAGATTAAAGACCTCTGAAAAGACCACAAAAGAGTGAAGTCCGGTACATATAATATGGGTTAAAAAAAAAGAAAGAAAAAAAAACAACAAAAAAACCCCAGAACATTGTTCATTTCTACTGTTTTCAGTTTTGCAGTAGGTGTGTTCTCTAGCCCTTACACAGTCAGGACAGAATGACAGATTTTTTGAGTTTAGTTGCTGACAGAGTTTCTTTTCCATTTTAATTAAAATATATAATGGGGACTATTTAAACAGAAGAAACGATTCACACAGTAAAACTGCATCTGGCTCACCAGCTTTGCTTAACCTGGGACTTGTGCTGATTCACTTCAAACTATTGAGAAAGAATACAGTAAAGTGTTGTAATCCTCATATGGTGAAACCCATTAGTTCACCCTAAGGGTACTGCAATGTTTTCACAAACTGAGCTTAAAATTCACCCAATTGGTTCATCCTCATGCTCTCATACAGTTTTCTGTATTTGCCTGCCTGTAGACCCTAACATCGACTATTGTGGTGAAACCTAGACGTTTGGAAAGGGTGGCAGTCTCCCACCTTTCATTTCAAGGCACTAGCTTGATGTATGTGGGTGGACTAAATCAGCACCCTTTGTTGATTACCTATGACAGGGAAGGGAAGGGGCTCCTCAGTGTCCCTACATCATGAAATAAGACACCACTGGGAAAGGGATTTGCCCCTTGCTTCCCATGTCTTTTGTACAGTCCCAACTATGCTTTTTACCTGCTCCTCAGTCTTTAATAAGGAAACAAAAGAAGAATTTGATCTTCGTACACAAGTTCTGTTTCCTTTATAAATATTATATAAGGAAAAACATTTCTTCTTCCCTACACCTTGCTGTTAAGCACCCAGGAGGGCTTTTCTTACAGTAACTACCTTTTTTCCCATGTTCTTTCATAAGCAGTGCACCAGTAATGGACAGGGATTGTCAATCCCATCCATGCTTGTAACCGTGATGTTGTGTTCTACCTTATCTCTACCATTTCTACTGGTGCAGCAGTGTGGGGCAGTGCTGAATGTAGAACACAGCTGACTTTTGAACATCTGAGTTATACACTTCTCTCTGGACATCTGACCATGATAAAATCTCAGTTCTTCAGGTCAAACCCAAACATCAGGCCAACCTGTTTCTGCTTTGACCCATGTAGCTTTTCAACAAGATACAGCTAGATCAGCCTGTGTTCTAAACCAGATGTATCATGTCTGGTATTATGGGAGAGAAAAACTTTGTATTGCACTTAACTAGAGAGAAGGGTACCTGTAAGCAAGGCTTGCTTAAGAAAGTCCTATTACATGGTGTGCTGCCTGCTGTAGCCTAGTACTGTGCTCCACCTCCATCATGCGATCCAGTGTGTCAGACTAGCATCTGTCACATAACCAGATCCACAGGATCTCTTGATGAACCTTGACAAGTCTTGGAAAAACACAAGTGTTCATCTCCTTAAAGACTTCAGGGAGTCAACTGCCTCTTTACCCAGCCAAGTGGTGAAATAAGTGCTTGGGAGGTGAAAGAGACCATGGCAGCACAGCGTGTCTTCACATGCCCCAAGTGAAAATTATACCCACAAAGGCTGCCACTGTAATTTTGAACTTGGAACATTTTCCAGGTCTCTCATAGTTAATATTGTGGAATGTTTCAGCTGTGTTTGTAGTCACGAATGTAGGATGGAAAGCCAGTCCATAATTTTTCTGCCCACTGTTTATAAATACCGTATGTTCCTAATGTGGGTTTTTCTTTTTCCTTTCCATTGTCTTTATATGGTCTGACTCAGATTGGGGGTGAGGGTGTATTTTTAATATTATTATATCATGGGAGGAGGGGGTTTTTGCTTTATTTATTTGAGCTTTACCCATGAGTCTTATTTTTCAGAGTTACTTCTACAACAATGACACTTTTAACTTCAACTATGCCCAAGCCAAAGCTGCAACTGGCAATTTTAAAGAGGCTGAAGAGGTATGTATTTGCTTTCTTTAAAAAACAGCAATGGAAACATTTCTCCCCTACTCCCCTCTTTCCTTCCTTTTCTCCTCCCAGATCCTCATGTTGGTTGAAAATAAGCAGGTTGTGTGGAATATCTTCTTCCCCTTCTTAGAGGAACTGAAACTCTCAGTGAATACTATTCAGAAAAGATTATCTTGCTAATCTTGTAATGTGAGGTATATGAGGAGTCATGCTGCTTATGATGCATCACAAGAGTGCTTGCAGCTACCTCTAATTGATCAAAGAATGGCCTCTTAATCAGATTTCCTACGCTTTGTCTGGGATCCCAGGCACTCTTTGTTCAGACTGAGTAGGGCATGCTGAGTAAAAGACACTGAATAGTTAAAAGCTTCTAGGTGTCCCTAGAAATTTGTGTTTAAAAAAAACACAACTTCCTCTGGGAGATGTGGGAGGAAAAGAGGAAGTGCTCACTATCTTATTCAACAGCATCCAGATGCAGCTGGAAGAGATTAACTTCTACACCCAGTACTTTTTTATGTCTGTGCAGCAGAAACTTAATTACAACTAAAATATGCAAAAGCAAATAGTTATCATGAAGATGTAAGCAACATTTTCCACAAGACCAGAAAGAAGACAAGCCACAAAAAAATCCCACACCACGTAGCCTAAAGTGAATCATATAGATTTGGTTGGTTTGGGGTTTATGTTTTTGTTCTGTTTTTCCTGTCTCTCTAACTTTTTAACTCTTCTGGTTTGTCAATAACAGAACCCTTCTGGTTTTACAATTTGTCTTCCCCCTGTCCTGACCACTCCACCCAGCACCCTTACCCCTTAATTTCTGTGACCTGAAATTTCATCTGTCTTTAAGAAAAGTATTCCAAGACTGTCAGGAAATGGATAGATATTTGAATTCACCAAGCTTTCAATTCACTTAGCTTAATGAAAATCTTTCAAAACTATGCTAGTGGGCTATGCTGATTCCTTAGACTTCACAAAAATGGTAATAGCATAACTAAGTTTTAGTAGCAGCCAGGCAACAAAGAAACACAAAGGTGTAAGCTGCTGTTAGTATACATTTTTACATTTTTTAGAAGTTGTTCTGTAGAAACTTGTGTAATATAGCTGATGCATTCAAATAATAGAATTATGTAGTTAAATTGATTCATCTGGCCTCATGTCTGATCTCTGGTTGTGATGACACTTCCGTATAAAGATCAGCCTTCCCCAGTGTCTCATAAACTTGTAGAACAACTCCACATATAGCACTTATTAAGTTATATAAAAGCATACCTCCCTGGACATAATGAAATAAAACCTATGATAAAGTGCTACCTACAGTGATAATACTGCTTTTTTTTTAATTTCTTCCCTATTAATCCTTCTCCCTTCCCCCAAAATTAGGGGTTCAGCAATGTTTAAGCCATACAAATGTTAGTAATTTGTGGAACTCACTGTTCCAATACATACATCTGCTCCTATAAAGGTATTTTGAGTTTTGCCAGTAGCATCCAGTATAGTTACAAATATACTAGAGAGATGCATAAATAGCTCATTTTTTCTGTGAGCAAAGCCAGAGTACATTTTAAAATTTACAACTTCCCCCCACACATCCCTTTAGATGTAGAATGTAATAAACCTGTATTTGTACGGTAAGTTACAAAAGATGAATGCTTTGCCTCAGAAGCTTACTGAAACCAAAATGGTTAGAAATGGCTTGTTGCTGACCTGGAATGATCTCTGACACGTGTGGAGAGGAAAGGCTCATCTATATGTGAAACTTCTGGTATTTCAAGAAGATGCTAATGTAATTGCTTGCATCGCCTTCTAAACATACACATTCCAAATAGCTTTTCCCACAGGCCCAGTGTTCCTTTGTGCTGTTTGTGTTGCATGGCCACCCACTGGCACTTGTTCAGAGCAGGCCGCACCCTCTGCTCAGCTTGGCACTCTGAAGCTGCACAAGTTCTTTGACAAGCAGGGCACTGTGTGAATCCTCCACCTGCCCCACACAGAGTAGGGATGTCCCTACACTGCACTTGCATACCCTAACTCTTCTCATGAAGCAGTTGTTTGAGTGGCTTAAGCCTAAGCTGCGTGTTGAAACGAGGTAGGTTTGTTTGCCTTCTGTTTGTTTAAAAGTACATGCATGTATAATCTTCTATTTTCCTTCTTCCTGCAGGTGTTCCTTTTGATCCAGAGTGAGAAGATAAAGAGTGATTTTGTTTACCTTAGATGGCTAGCTCGCTGCTGTGAGTCACTTTACTCTCAACGTTGCAGAATACAGATCCTCCTCTATTGCGTCAGTCCTGGCAATCCACTTTCCTAATTGAATTTAATGTTGTAGGTGGATTCTGGACTATGAAAGTGAAAAGCTGATCGCACTAGTTATAGTGTGGGTGGTTATTGCACCTTCGTACATTTGGCTTTTATAAGCAATTACTGCTTCAGTGCAATGCTGTTACAGTACTGTCAGTGCAGCTTTGTCCTGGCCAGTGACCCTCTTTCTTCTCAATTGCCTACTGAATTGCTTGAGTGAAGGCTTTCTGTCTTAAAATACTGTGTTACAGCTATAATATGTTCAGAGTAAAACACAAAATAGAAGCATTCATACCGGGTCAGGCCCAAGGGTCTGTCTGTCTCCAAGGGTGGCCAATGTCAGATGTCTAGGGAAGAGAAGAATCAGGCAAGCATATGTCGTATTTTGCTTCCTACCATATTACTTTACATGTTGTTCAAACTCCTGTGCCTGAGGGATATCCTTTATAATCTCTAGGATGTTTTTTTCTTCCAAAACCTCTTCATTCTTTCCTTGAACTCAGGAAACTTTTGCTGTGTTTATTATTCTATAGCAAATCTTATTTACTTTTTCTGAACCAGTTTTTAAGACATTGCAGAGTACACCTCAGTACAGATACAGCTACAGTGCCACATACAAAATAGTATAGAGGTGGTGGACTTTTCTAATGACTCAAGTCTGAGACTCTCTAAGCTAATTTGTTTTCCTTACAGTGCCTCAATACAAAAATGTTCCAAATCAAACAATTTTGAGTAGTTATACCTGGAATATAAATATGTAGGTTTTGGGACATTATGCCATACTGCAGATGTAGTAAACATCTCTTAACATGATCTTTCACAAAATCACAGAATATACTGAGTTGAAAGGGACCCACAAGTATCATTGAATCCAGCTCTTAGCCCTGTACAGGACCATCCCCAAGAGTCACACCATGTGCCTGAGAGTATTGCCCAAACACTGCTTGAATGCATTGTCTTGCATAAAAAATTTCTCTAAGGCTTTCTATTCTGTTCCTTAATCACACCTGAAATCATAAGAGTTGTTCTTATTGCTGTGAAATATAAATTGAGATGTAAACACCATAATTATTCCTCTTGACATTGGTATTCTCTGATGAATTGGCTGTTATCACTAGTAAGGCTAGTAAGGAAGATAAGGCTTCCCAGGCTCATGCTCATGCTGAGGCATGCATTTACATTAAGCAAAGAAATACAGGGACATCTATTCCACCTGCCATTGAGTATTGTGCGTGGCATATTCTTTTCACAATTTCAGCTTTTTCTTGTTATTGCAGATATTATGAATAAGAAACCACAGTTGGCCTGGAAGCTCTATCTGAAGATGGAAACCTCAGGGGACTCCTTTAACCTATTGCAGCTCATTGCAAATGATTGCTACAAAGTGAGTTTTCTCTTCAGAGCTTGGTGTGTGACATGTTAATTCGGTGATTGTACCAATAGTCATTTTTTGGATATTTTTATCATTGTCATCACTAGTGAACTTTCTTTTATAACAGCAGGATGTCTAATAATGTGGATGAGTTGGCAAGAGTTAGTCAGTATTTAAACCTACAGGCCTTTTGGTAGACAACCCATTGATTAAAACGTTGATAAATCACTGCATGCTTGCGCTATCAATAATAACAGTTTCTTCTCCTACTAAGGATTCATTAGAGGTAGAAATGACAAAAAACTTTTAAGGAAAAAAATTTAGCATAGGTTGGGCAAGGAGCCTCATGCTGATTTTTTTTTTCTGGGACAGTCTTGTTTTCCTAAAAGCTTGTAATGGCAATAGGAGATACTCCTTATGATCTCAAAAGCATTATTCTAAAACTGAGAGAATTATCTCTTGCACATCTTTCAAGTCCTCGGTCCACCATTGCACCCTAAAAGTCTTGTTGCTATGCCTCTGGTGTTTCCCATAGCTACAGTTTGTGAAAGCAAGTTGCAAAACAGACATCATGTAAAATCTCTCTCTAGACCATTTAAAGTCTTACTTAAATCAGTTGGTTGCTTTGTCTAAATTCTTCTCAAAACCTTATGGCACTCAAGAGGAGAAGCAGCTCTACTTTTTGGATTTATCTAGAGCTCTGAAAAACTGCACTTGCAGGACTAAATTTTTCAGCCTAATTACATGTCTACATATAGCCATAAATGTCTACTCCAAAGGCCAAGGAATTTAATTTCAAAAATTTTTGCTATGGTGTTACAGTTTATCTTTCTATACTAGCAGCTGCTTGTACCTCTTCCAATGAATAGCAAGGTCCATGTTGTTTGAGTTTATGTAGCATTTTTCGGTTGTTTCTGAAATAGTACATTATATCAGAGGTCCACAGCGCCAGAAATGTCACTTAAGAAGACAGTTGCACTAGGCTTTGCTCAACAGAAAGCAGAGTGAGCATGGATGCAGCAAGGTCAACAGTGTCCTTAGACTGGGTGTAGCTGAATGGCCCATTGCTGTGCTGACAGAAGTTGTTTAGTGAGGAATCTGAGATGCAGGACTTTTGGCTAATTTCTTGATGGTTTTTATGCAACTGCCCATCTTGTCCTTATAGGGAACAGCACATGACTTGGGGTGAGCATTTCCTTCTTTAATGTCAGATAGAAGGAGGACATTAAACCTGTATCTCCTTAGTGGAACTAGATCAGGTACTAATTTGGATAGATCAGTATCATTTTTTTCTTTTTAGCTGACACATCTGATACCATTTATACTCACTATATTCCCATCCACAGTGCTTTCCAGTCACCAGTGATTCAAATCAACTTTTATGTGAAGCAAAGAGAATTATTACTCATTCTGTAGTACCCATGTTTCTCTGACTAAAGTTTCCAAATGTAACTCCCCCAGCCTACCCTTTTTTCTCTGCAGATGCAGGCTTCCAGCTACCAAAGGATGGGAGATTACACTCAGTCTACATTCTGTGCTTTCTCATGGGAAGATGCCACTCACAAACAGCATTGCTATTCAGGCTTGCCCAAGTGGAGAACACTCACAATCATAGATACAGCCCACGAACTGACTTCAAAATCCACAGTTAATATGGTCACTCCTTTTGCACTGACTGTTGCCAAGCAACTTGCTTATGGTTCCCAATCACAAGTATAGAACCTAAGGCAGAAAAGTTAGAGTACACACTGGATTTTCCTATGCTCAGAAAAATTTTGGATTATAGAGTCACTGAATCTTCTTTTGTACTGTACTGTACTGTAACAGTGAAAAAAGAATTTAACTCCTAAGTTAAACCCACTAGGCATACAAATATGTGACCATCTCTACATGAGGAAATGTGTTTCTATTTTCAAATGTTTGGACTAGTTTGAGGTTGATATTTGGTCAAGGGCTTTGGTATAGTTGGTACGACACTAGATAAGGGCACCTCAAAAAAGATATTATAATACCTCCTCTGTAGAACTGAAATGTCCCTGTTTTGTATCACTTGATGCTTGCAGAAAAACAAGAAAATGCACATTGCTTTTATGACTTAACTGCTGATTTCAGAAAACTGAGCTCAATGTTTTTAATCCCCTTCTGAAAGATGGTCATACAGTCAGGAATAATGTTTCACTTTCTGTGCAGATGGGTCAGTTTTACTATTCAGCCAAAGCGTTTGATGTTTTGGAGAGACTGGACAATAATCCTGAATACTGGGAAGGCAAGAGAGGTGCTTGTGTGGGTGTATTTCAAATGATTTTAGCTGGCCGAGAAGCGAAGTGAGTATTTTGTGTTGTTGTCTTTGTATTTGTTTTGCTCTTTTCCTGTTTTCAGTTAGCTGTAAGCTAGAATCATAATCTTAGCTTTAGGACTCCATATCTTTTTCCAATTCATTATTGACCTTTCAGGGAATAGACACTCTGGCCAGTGGTTCCATATGCAGTCTTCAGTTTGCAGTGTATCTTCCACAACAGTTTATGGTGAAGAATAACTTATAAGCAAATGCTATGAACTGTAAGACACCAAAATACATTAGTCATCATACTAAGAAAAGTTATAAATGTAGTAGTATGTTTATGAGCTGGGGGAAAACAACCTTACTTCATGTTGATGGCATAAGAATGGAAAACTGTCACATGACATTTTAGGGTTCATAGAACAGAACTAAGGAAATATTTATTCAGCACTGTAAGAAGGACACGATTTCTCTAGACAATGAGTAGATGAGACTATGTTTTCACTAAAATTTGCTTTCTGAAGATACTGTCCATGTGAGACAAACATACTTACTTGATGAAAGATTAAAAGAGATAATCATCCATGTTACTGATAATTTTGTTTCGGCCCATTTCACTGGATGGGAGAATGAGAGTAGTGAGACTGTATTTAAGAACTGCTCCCTTGTGAATATTCGGCTGTGATGCCAGATGGCCATCGTCCTCTGGCCAAAGTTGCTGTTTCCTATGTGACTGACAGGTGTGTATCTTGGCTTTTACACCTTCCTTCTATTCACTTCTCTGCTGGAATAATCTCACTAACTATTGTACCTTACAAGTGTCCTTTTAGCAATCACTTGCAGCAGATGCAGTAAAATACATACAACTTCTCTGTTTTTCAAAATATGCAAACAAGTTCTTACTGCAAACTAGCTGGCTAACTGCAGAATACTGGTTTATCCTATTGGTAATGTTAATTTCCCTGTTATTTGTGTTTATGTATAAGGTGCTTTGGCAGTATTAAGCTAGATGTTGCCATACTAAAGACCAGCAAATAACAGTAAAGATTTTAAAAAAAAAAGTTTGCTTTGTTCTGGGGAACTATTTTGCAAGAGTAAAGATTTATATATAAATACACATACACACACTAAGGTCTAAACTGATTACATTTTGCTGGGTTTTTTTAACTTTTAATTTCCTTACAATTACATAGAAGACTTTTTTGTTTGGTTGATTGTTTTTTGTCCCTGGGATCTCATCAACTGTGCATTTTAACCTTTTCCTGCCCTGCAGATGAACAGACCTCTCTCTGTCTAGGAGGAACCATATTTTGCAAAATAGTTTACTTGTTTATTGTAGTTTATTGTATCAGTTGAGTCTTAGACTAATTTAAATCTTTGTTTTCCACCTTTGTAGAGAGACTCTGCGGGAAGTACTGCATCTTCTGAAGAGCACTGGTAATTCTCAAGTAGAATACATTGTCCGCATCATGAAAAAGTGGGCCAAGGAGAACAGAGTTCCAGTTTAAGTCAGTACCACAAAATAAACTGGGTCAGTTGCTACTGTATGTCTGGCTGCAAGATGTGGGTTTTGGTTTCTCCTATGCATTCTGACTATCTCCTTCCTTGAAGGACTTTAGGCATTCAAGCAGGTTGATCCAGCTGAGGAAGAGTGTCCTGCAGTGAGATTGCAAAACATTCAGCAAGTTGGTTCTTTTTTTAATTAAAACTTTTTATATCTTGCACCCCCTCTATTCTTCAATGTTTCTTTTTTTCAGTAGTAATTACAACTGTGCACAAGTAAAGTGCTCCTCAAATGTTCCCCAGATTTCTCCCCAAAAGTTACTGAACTGCTTTGTGGGGTTTTTTTCCATCAAGCCTTCTGTCCTTGGGAGAAGAATTATTTATTACCTGACTGAGACAAACCTGCTTCAGGAAGTGATAGAATACAGTAAATAGAGATGGTAATGGTGATAATCAAAAGCCTACTATGGCTACTAGGGTATCAGATAATACAGAAGACTTATCATAGAATCATACAATCATAGAATGGCTTGGATTAAAAGGGACCTTAAAGATCATCCAGTTCCAACCCACCTGCCATAGGCAAGGACACCTTCCATTAGACCAGGTTGCTCAGAGCTCCATCCAGCCTGTCCTTAAACACTTCCAGGGTTGAGGCAACTTCTCTAGGTGACTTGTTCCAGTGCCTCACCGCCCTCACAGTAAAGAATTTCTTCCTAATATCTAAGGTAAACCTTCTCTCTTTGAAGCCATTTCCCCTAGTTCTGTCACTTCATGTCTTTCTCCATTTTTCTTGTAGGACTTCTATATATTACCTCTCTGGGCTAAAATACAAATCATATTCTGAGCATTAGCCTTTTCTGGATAAATTTCAATAACTAATACCTTAATTTCTTTTTTGTTGTTGTTTTTGTCCGTAAGGATTGTTTTCTCTCCTATCATCTTTTTCAAAGCATGGAGGTTTATTGGTCTGTATTGTTCAATCTTGTTTTGAAGTTTAGCACTCAAAACATTCATGTTAATATAGTTCACATGAGAAATCTATTTAGTTTAGCAATCTGATGGATAAAAATATGTTCTGAATTATTTTCTTCAGCATTTACCACTATCATGAGCAACCATATTCATTATACTTTTGGATTTATTAGACTTTTCTGTTTTTTAAGGAGAACAGCTCAGGGAATATGTAATTCTAAAAGAAGCAACAGTTGTAACATAAAAATGTGTTATATATTTGGTAGCTGTGATGGCTTTGTTCAGCTACCAGAGGACTGAGACTCCAAACAGGTCACTCCTCTTTTGTGTTAACCTCTCCCCACCCCCCTCCAATAATGAAGAGACAATATGAAGAGATATAAATAAAAAAATAACAAATTACTTAAGGAACTAGCAGTCACTGCAAAGATATAAATTAAAACAGTTAAGGTGAACAAGAGGAGGGGGGCTCCCACGCTGGACCACGTGGCTCGGTAGAACAAAGAGAAACAATATGGCAAATGAGTTTCTGCGATCCAATGTCCTCCCCCAGACAGAAAACAACAGAGAACAGAGGCAAAGCAAAACCTGGAAAACTATCTTGTCCAAACGGAGGTGTGGTGCTGCTGAAAACACTGACTCTGGTGATGGCAGCAGAGTGGTGACTCTGGGCTTACGGCGTCTGGGACTTTGGGGGGTTGTTGTCCCCAAGCTCTCCCAATCCACTCCAGGCTGTGGCAGCCCTGGCAGTGACCATCACCCATGGCTAGGCTTCAGAAAAACAGCTGCCCCTCCCTCCAGCAGCAGGGGAAGAGCATGCACCCTTCCCCTTCCAGTCCACGGCTTTTTTCCCTGCCAAGCCCATGCCCCCCATGATGATGTGATGGTATGAATATTGCATCTCTTTCCTGATGACCTGAGGCATCATGGGACCACCGAATCAGAAATAATTCACCCTTATATTACCAGTCCAGATGTATCCGAGACACTTTAGCCTGTTATTATGATGCTCCTTGTTAGCCCAACTCTTGAGTACATGTGCATCTACATGATGAACTTTCATGGTCAACTTCATTCAGGCGGTGATGTCTTGCCACACTTCAGCAGCCCAGATGGGTTTCCCTCTGTGCTGCCAGTTGGCCTTTTTCCATCAGTCCAGCCACTCCCACAGAGCACTTACTGACATCCACGAGTCAGTGTAGAGGTAGAGTGTTGGCCACTTCCCTCTATTTCAGCGACATCTAAAGCCAGCTGGACAGCTTTCAGCTCTGCAGCTGGATCTGATTTGATTCACCTTGTCCCTTGGTAGCTTCTGCAACTTGCCATATAGGGCTCCATACGCCAGCTTTCCATTTTCAGTTTGTCTTTATAATATGACAGGAACCGTCAGCAAAGAGAGCGTACAGCTTTTCATTTTCTGGTAGCTGATTATCTGGTGGGGCCTCCTCAGCACGTGTCACTTGCTCTTTTTCCTCTTCATATGAGAGTCTAAAATTCTCACCTTCAGGTCAGTTCATGATGATCTCCAAGATCTCTCAGTGATTAGGATTTCCTATCTGTGCTCGCTGTGTGATGAGAGTGATCCACTTAATTCATATAGCATCAGTGGCATGATGTGTGGAAGGAATTTTTCCTTTGGACATCCCGCTCAGCAGTGGCAGTTGGGGCACAAGGAGGAACTGTGCTTCAGTGCAAATCAGTTCTGAGGCAGCTCAAACCCCTTCATAAGCTGCCAGTGTCTCTTTTTCAGTTGAGATGTAACAGGCCTTGGATCCTTTGTATCCCTGACTCCACAACCCCAGAGGTTCTCCTCAGGTCTCCCCAGGCAGTTTTTGCCAGAGGCTCCAGAAAGGACCCTTCTTCCCCGGCTGCAGTGTAGAGCAGATTTTTTACACTTGAAGTCATTCTTCCATGTCACAAGGTAGAGAGGACTTACAATCTGACTGTACTCTGGGATATGCATTCTCCAAAAGCACCTAAGAAAGCCTGTATTTCCTTCTTGCTGGTTGGTGGGGACATAGCTGCTATTTTGTTAATCCCCTCTGTTGGAGTGTGGTGATGTCCATCTTGCAACTGTACTCCTAGAAACTGAATTTCCTGGGCAGTTCCTTTGACCTTATTTTGTTTAATGGCAAAACCAGCTTTCAGGAGAATCTGGATTATCTTCTGCCCTTTCTTAAAAACTTTGTCTGCCATGTTTCCCCATAGAGTGATGTCATCAGTGAACTGTAAGTGTTCTGGAGCCTCACCCTTTTCAGTGCAGTGCCCATGGCAAATGGTGGGGCTGTTTCCACCCCTGAGCCAGTCAGTTCCAAATGTATGAATATTCATTGCTGAAGCTCCACCCCCTGGCTTTGTAACAATAACCATGTAGTGAAAAACATTTGTATATTATTTATAAAAGGAAACTTTAAATTTTATAAATTTTAAAATACTAAAGTATTTTTTTATCTTTTGGGGGGAATTCAGAATACCATATTCTCTACTGTCTGTGCATTGATTAAAGCTCTTAATTGAACGTCTGTTTGGTCTGTGTTGCATCCTACTGCAGAAGTTGAAATAGTATGTTCATTTTGCTGTGGCAGAGGGCAGGTTTGAGGCTGGTCATTAAGTGCATGTTCATTAATCAGTCAAAGGCAAGCCAATGGCCTTGGTCCTGATCTTATGGTAGTTTGCTGAAAATAAGGCAGCTGGGTATATATGGAACATGCACGCCTCTCTGCGATTTCACATGTCAGTGTTTTTACTGCTTCAAGCAAAAAATGTGGGTATCATCATTCAGGTGTCTAGAAGTACACTGATTGTTGTGGCTGCTTGCATTTATATGTAGAAACTGATCCATCATGATAGCAACAATACCGGAGCCTTTCAGCAGGGCCAGGGGTGATGTTACACTCATTCAAAAGAGATGTGAAAGGAGCAGTATTTTCACTGAAAGAAGTTACAAAACACATTTCACTTGTAAATGGCATTTTTCTTTTCCATCCCACTTTAATTAACTTGGAAACAGATCGGGAATACAACTATGAATCTTGGTACAAAGCTTCAAAAAATCATGTTGGTGGCTTTGTAGCAGATGTTAAATGCATCTAATTACTCCCTTTATTGAAGCTTAACCTGCAGGAGAGCTGAAGAACATCCAAATCCATTACAGACCATTTTACATATTGGTTGAATCTTCTGAAATAAGTGTGATGGCATTGCAGCATAAGGGCTTGTGGAGTAATTTTAAATTCTCATCTGTGACCAGTGAAGAAGTTTTTCAAAACCTTTTATTTACTGTATTCATAATGTCATATTCAATATGGCAAATAATGGTTTAACACAGTGCATTTTATTGACTGGTAATAAAGCTCTGTCATTGAAGATATAGCAGGGGTGTGCAGAACTTTGCCTTGAGCAGTGATGAAATAAAAGATACATATTATCTTAGCACTTAGGTCTTGGTAATGGAACACATATGTAGGTACTATTAAAATGCAGAACAAGAAAAGTACTGAAATACTGGTGTTTATTTTACCTTAGAAATATGTGTAGAATGTACCTCCCATTGTTTAATCTGAGATCTTATTCAAAGAACAGATGTGAGAATAGGATGTGCCTTAGCTGATACAGAAGTAGAATTTAATAAAGTTTATCTAAAGCTTTTTCTCAGATAGAGTTAACAAAATTTTATCCCTGCCCATTTCCATATTTCCCTAAACTGCAGAGAAATAAGGAGTCAAGGTACTCTAAATAGGATGGCTAGGAGTGAAGGTAGATGTGGAGGAAAACAACAAAAGTGACCCATTCAGAACAAGCAGGCAGTGAAGAATGCATGGACAGAGTCAGAGAAACGGGTAAGTTTATTGGGTCGGGAGTAAGTGAATAAAAAATTGAAACAGTGGCATTTCAGATAATGTAATGGAAGGGAGACTTAAGGAAGAAGGAAATTGCTGCATCATTAGAATTTCAAGGAAGAGTATGAAAATTACAGTTCTTTCTTATACTCTGAATAAACATCTGATTCTGGAAAAATAAACTACAGAGAATGCACAGAAGGTACTGTGCTAGCAATCATGTCATTAACAGTGACCGGTAAAGAAAGCCAAACCCAAAACAGCATGTAACTGCTTTTAGTTGGGTGCTGATCCATTTCTGATAGATAAGGAAGTCAATCTTGAATTAAACTTGGTAATACCTGAACAACATCTGTTCCAGTAACACCGTAGTGAATTAGGTGCAGAGGAGGACATTTATCCTGTCTGCTGCTGTAAGTGAGTTCAAGGATAACCTCTGCTTTGGCCAGTATCTGAACTGATCCAGTATAGCAGCAACCCTCTTGGATTACTTCTGGAATCCAGCATATAACTTCTAGTAACAGCTGGAGCCAAGTAATGTACTAAGCTGGAGGTGGCACGTTCGTTGTGAAAGAAAAGCAATGTCACGTTCCAGCTCTGAGCGGTAGCCGGTGTTTAGGTTTATGTGGCTCCCTCAACTTGAAGATTGCTCATTGATCTTCATAAGCTAAGGTTGATTAAGGAACTTGGCCATTAAGTAGTAAGACACGAAGTAAACAATTGCATATATAGCTGTTGCTACATGTAGCTTCACTTCATGGAGGTTATACATTCATTGAAGAAAACACCTGGGTTTTGCCCATTGGTTTACTCTTTAACCCATTTTTCCCTGTATGATCTCCAGAAGTAATTTACACTCATTTTGGAATTTCATTTCCAGACTTCCTTCTCTCCTTTTAATCTATTCATACAATCATTGAATAAGTAGATAAATGCATGAAAGTGTTACCAGTAACCTTAAAATCAAGTTATTAATCCACAGCTAGATAACCTGGCCTAACACTACATAGTGCAAGATGGTAGATTTCATCAGCTAATCTTTGTGTTGAATTCAATAGCTAACTCGACTTACCATAAAATATTTGCCAGAAAAACTTAAGTGTCTTTATTTGAAGGTGGATAATGGAAAATCCATGGTTTTACTTTGCAACTTATTCAAATGGTTAAATCACATTTGCTGTTTTAGAAATTGTACCCTAATTCTAAATTGAACTCGTTTGCCCTTGTTTTCTAATATTTGATTCTTCCAGGAATCATCATTGCTGTTAACCTTTAAAGCCTGGCATTCTTCAGTTTGGTTTGGGTTTTCTGGCGGTTTTCAGTTTTAGGGGTTTTTTTCATCTTTAGGTATGCATAAAGTGCAGCAAATCAACTCTGTATGAAAGACAGGGTCCCTTGTAAGGGTATTTCCCAGACTGGAAAACTGGCAATTGGTTTGCCAACAGACTTTTTTTCAAAACATGGTTGTTTAGCAGTGGGCCTAATTTATGACTGTATATGACATTGGAATTGCTCCTCCATACTGCTGCTTGCTACTCTCCTACATGCATACTCAAAGACTGCATTCACCCTTTTCGTCATACTATCACAGGGGAAGCTTGCA